CGCAAACAAATACACCTGAATTCATCCACTTTATCTGTCATAGGCTAAATTTCGTAAGAATGACAACTCTTTAACATGTTACTATATGGAATAACAAACTAGACGACTGAAAAATGCAGACTAAATAATACATTATCATAGTCTAATTGATTATTGGATAAATTAAAGGGATATTACCTTATGTTTATTTCTCATTCTTTTATAATAGCTGCAGTGGATGAAGTTACTCTTCAGAGATTAAAAAGTGTCATTGAAAAACAAAAAGATATTATTAGAACAAAAGAGAAAGAACTGACTCGTTTAAAGGAGGAATTGGAAGTTGTGAGTTCTTCACTATTCGTATATCCAAATTATATTACGGTAGAGTATAAGTATTAGATGAAGACCCTAGTTTTTCGACAGCATCCTAAATCTACAAGGAATATTAAGTATGCAAATATCAATAAATTACTTTATCAAATCCATATTCATATTCTTTGCAGACTCAATCACAAGGAGACCAAGTATTGCAACTCAATCAAGAGCTTCGTAAACGGTGCGATGAGCTACAGGAGCGTGTGGAAACACTAAAAGTTAAAAAACATAGTATGAAAGAGCAAGTAGCTGAGATCACACAAAAAATGTCTGCTGCAATATTATCACACGAAAAATGGGAGAATGAACAAGAAAATGAAAAAATTATTAGCACAAGGAAAGAGAGTGAAGGTTCATCTCCTGAATGTGAAAAGGTAAAACACATTTCTATCGCTTGTTACTTAACTTTGATAAGCTGCGAACAGAAAGTTTAAAAAATATCTATCCCATGGTATGAATGACCAATTTTTTTACATAATCGTTAAGCTCTAGCAATATTTAGGTTACTTTAGCTTCAATTCCAGCTAAATACTTCTTGTTCATTACTCGTTATAGTATTCGTGGTCAGGGTCTGATATTGACACACCAAGCAACGATATTAACCACATTATCAAGCAACGTGATCACTATAAATCTATGGTCGCAGATATAAGCATTGAACTAGAAGATTTAAGGCAAAAATTAATTCGATCAGAATCAGAGTAAGCAATTATCTAATCATGGTCTTATTCATTAAATACAATAAATTATACTGAATATCAGCCTTGTATTCGTATACTAAAGGATGTATATTAATCTATAACATTTAGTTGAAGGCTGACATTTTATTGGATCTATCATAAATCAGTAGGCAAGATATCAACTATTTTTTACGTATAATTTAGGTTAAATTTACTGAAACTCCGATTTTCAACACCTTCCAATCGCAAATCTACTGAATATATCAAGGCTAATCAGAGCGGAGGAATTCGAGGATTGTACGTAGTAATAATTGCTGATTTTACTACTACTGATAATCGTGTACGTAGTTTATTTCTACTTCTGCAGCAGTGCTCAGACTAATCTTAAAAAGTCTTAGGCATACGAGTATATTGATAGATCTGTGAGGTGCTACAGTATATGAGCTACTATAGCAATAGTCTCGTGTGCTTGTTATGCTTTTAAATGTGTTAATATATATATACACTTACTGATCAGTGTTCTTTAGTAAATGCATCATAATAATCAAGTGATAAATATAAAGGTATAAATTAACATTTATGCTATAGCAAGATACGTTTAAATTATATATAGATAGTATGAATAGTTATAAAGCTATCTAGAATTAGTAAATGGAGCAAGATGCAGTATAATTGCAAAGTTAATGGGCATGGTTAATTATTATACCGTGAAGTTTTTGAGTTTAACTACACCTTTGGCTAAAAATTTGATATTTGAATATAATTATAACTATAGCTGTAAAGATACATGTTAAGCTAAGTTAATAATCTTAAATTGATAGCTATAACTAGCTTCTTGGTATCAAGTTTTTAGTACGCAAATTTAACTAATGATATCGCACTTTAGTTTTAAGATGTTTAATGCTAAACATCAAACGGAAATCTCAGAAGGCAACAAAAGCTCAGAAGTTATTAGCCACAGCAATCAAAACAGTCAAAAATCTTCTCCTATCATTATGAAACGTCACTTTGCCTCGCCAGCTACCAGACAATCTACACCGAACCTAGCGTCTGAGTCTAAACCTCGCCGATTTAGTTTTGACCGAAGTGTATTTTCATTACGTTCTTCTCCAAGAGCAACGAAAAAACAGTCTGACGAAGCAGTGATAATTGGTGATGGTAATCCTAATAGCAACAAAAACGGCAGTAAGCCATCAAGCAAAAAGTCTATAAAGAGCTTAAGTACAGTTAGTGTAAATCAACCTTCTACTAGTAAACCGAAGATGACAAGATCAACTTCAATAGAACATTATATGTCGAAATTTGGGCATCGAAAATTAACTCGTCAAGATGCGTCTGATTTAATGAACCCTAATGCAGATTTCGAAGATAATACCCAATCAAGTCGTCAGATGCGATACGAATCGATGCAACTTATTGCACAATCTTTTGATAACGATTCTATTGTTATATCGCACTTCGATAGTAATTCAAACAGCAGCAATGAAAATCAAGACATTCAAGATAAGAGCGGTTGCAGTCCATCAAGTCTGTGAATTATGGCTTTAGTGAGCGAAACTAAAATCAAATTAGGCCGCATGTTTTATATATCATTAATTTTGTATACGGTACTCAGTAAAAATGGCTACTGAATTTCTTCGGTGGTCTGTACTTGTAATCATATCAGCGAGGACACTTGCAATTCAAATTACCGTATTATAGTGTTTGCAGAGCGTTCATGTATTGTTTGTAATATGCACATAGCGAAAACGCTTTCGATGCCTTCAGTGCAATTCTATTATTACATTAGTAGATTAACATTGGCTATTATAACCAGAACGAATGATCACGTAATAGGTAATCATCGCCTAATCTGAAAAATCTTATGCTAAGACTAGCCAAGACTATGAAATTTGTCACATTAATTAATATGGCAAATTAGATTTGAACAGTAATTAAATATTCATGGATGAAATATCAAAAGCTGGAATAATACTTTTATAAAATGTAAAATCTATACGATTTTTAGTTCTAGAGTTTAAAATTTATGGCTGGCGTAACAATAATGCAGCTTATAGTTGAATGTATTTATCAATTCGTGTATCTCAGCTTTTATAAAAATAAGAATGCCGATACATCTTCATCTTTTCACGGCAGTCGTCCTGTTGATAAAACGAGATTTTGCGCATTCATATATGCCTGTTATTATAAAAGCACTTTTCTAAATGTTTATAAATTGGAAATATAATTTATGTATCGGCTAGAGTTTGCTGAGCAAACCTAGTGTAAAGTTATACTCTACGGAATTAGTGATATCTATTCTTTACTTTGGGTGTTTGTGTAACGAAGTCGATGTACCGTCTTTAAAATGTTACGAATGTCTAGTGCTATTTATTTAATATCGTTTTCTTAGGAAATGTTTGTTTATTATTTGTATAAAATAGCTATCACAGCTTAATAAATTATCACTTTAATAGCACTTTAGTTAGAAAAGATTTATAATAATTACGTATTTAGTAAAATGTAAACGTATACCACAATTTCACTATCTTGGAGAAGATTTGACAGTGCAATAGTTCAGTGAAATATTCACAATAACAACTGCAAATAGGCTTTCCTTTTTCAAATTGTTGCCAATATCAATTTGATAATTAGTGACGCTGTCGTTACAACGATTACAGCGCATGATTACACTGCTTTCGGTAAGATGATTATTTGGAAAGTTGGGATTGTATTGATATTTTATCTGCTCTCAGCACATATTTGTATTATATTCGAAAGTTTCTTTTGTAGATTAGGCCAGAGACAGTTTTAGAATGCAATTTTGATATGTTCTCCATATGACTTACGGCAGCTTTAGCTTTGTAGTCCATCTGTGAGACCTACCGCTAAATCATTTGTAATAGTTAACTTGGGTCAATCAAATTTTTGTACTATGTAGCAATATTTTCCACCTGATCGCCTAGTATTATTAATTTGAGTTCAAAAGGTATTAAAGCAGATATCCAATACTTTAAATAATCAATATAAGAAATATTTAAATGTGTCGAATAACCTATCTTTAGAATACCTTCATTGGTAAGGTATTAGTTCGACATACGATTTAGCAAGGCGATGATGATGGTCCTGGCACTATAGTCTGGCACAATAGTTAATTAATCAAAGAATAATCACTGGATTTCTTAAGATGAACTTCGCTCTAATTGGATTGCTATTTGGCTCATTTGTTTCGCTACATTATGTTATTGCTTAGTCAAGGATATTGCTACTTTAGCTCCTACAGCAACGAAGCAGTAGTTAGCAGTTAGTGAGGATCTCAGGATGAATTTCATTTACATGGGTATTCGATAAATCCTGTTTTGCTATAATGTAATACTATTTAGTACCCTAGCTACTTTAAGAATTTCAATTCTATATAAAGTGATGCAGAAGATGGAGTTAATCAATTAAATCATTAAAATATTTGATTTTTATCCATTCCAAATAAGATTTAATAGAACATTAAAAGATTTTCTGGTAATTTATGTAACCATTTCGCTAGACATGGATATAATGGATATACACTTTATGTTGTACAAAATAGTGTTATCACCATCTACACAGTAAATATAAAACGTGCTAATTAGAACAAAATTCAAATACTATTTATAAAATATATGGATACTTGTATAACCACATATACAGTCTGACTAGTCATGGTTCAATCTATACGCGTATTTCTGTCATGCTACTCTGGATCATTTTCTGCACACGAATGTTATAAGCGATGTTTTGTTGAAATTTTAACATATCTGTATAACTAAAGTGATATGTATATTGTACAGGATCAATTCTGATTCAATTTCGGCGTATGCTAGTCAGTATACTTGTCAAAATTTAGGGAAGAGATATATGACTCAAATTGTAAATGTCATATAAAAATTTTTTAATCGTTTTGTATCTAAGAAGCGGCAATACAACACAATTAGGTCAATTTCTAGTTGATCATCATTTAGCATTTATCTTTTTCCATTGCTCTTCAGTATAAGTCTTTTGCGAGAAGGCATGTATAGATTTTAATTCTTCTTCCAAGCAAGCATTAACCAATCTGTAAGAGTCAGAAAATATAGTCTTGGAGCTAGAAATCGATGCTATTTAAGAAATTAAGTTGTATTTTGCTAACAAAATTAGCATTCCGATCGATTAAGTTCATTAATAGTACATACTGAACTGTACACTGTACAGCATACGTATACAAAAAATGATAAATTAACCAACTACGATCTTTACTAGCAATTGCTTCCTCCTTAATTATCGTAAAATGCGAGGATTAAACTATAGTATAAGGTTGTGTTGATTTCTAGTTGAAAGGATTTTCAGCTAGACGGTGAATGTTACAATGTATCATTATGTGAATAACTTAATATGCTGAATTATCGTCAAAGTAGTTTCTACTATACTTATATTACTTAACATTTATAAGGTACTGTACCTATGTCGTTGCAATAGCGGTTTTCCTTCAAATTTTTCCGAAACAATAATCACAGAGTAACTCGATCCACAGCCTCCAGAAATATCTTCTACTTTCTAAACACATTTTTATAATCAATGCTTAGTCAGCGGTTACAAATTACTTCCAATACCACACAATTACTAGTAGCACAGGATACACGATGCACATGAACACTTTAACGTTTAAATATGTTCATGTGTAAATATTATAACAGATATAGTAAGTTATCTTACCACAAAAGAAGCATTTAATTCGTTTTTCAACTTATTTTCTATAGTATCTGCTGAAACTGACATAATTTCTTAAATAAGAATAATTTATCAATCTTCAAAAGTTATCTACTGTACCAGATGATGGACTACTAGATACTGTACAGTACATCTGAACTCTGTACCTGGCTGTACAGTATGTACAGTACACTGTACTGTACACCTGTCGATGGTTAGAGCTCTTTGCAGTACTGTACTGTACTGTAATACAGTACAGTATACTGGAGCAGACCAGACCATGAAGACCTCTAACAGTACAGTACAGTACAGTGTAGGGTTACAATACACTACTGTACAGTACAGTCAAGCGATCCCTTGTTAGTTTTGTACCGTGTACAGTGTACAGTGTACAGTACTGTACTGTGCTCCATCTAAAGTAATTTGCACCGTGAGTGGCATGGCATAGGCCTAAAGGAAAAAATCATTTGCTTTACCCCTGCTAAGTCTACAGATCCAACAGGAATAGATGAAATGATGGCTTTCTCTTATGGGTGCAAAGTAGCTGCAAGAAACTGGCCATCTTGCGTCTACTGTAGTTATCGAAGCCTGACTAATAGCAGCCCTATGCATAGAATTTTTGGTAGGAGTAAAGAAATTGCTACCGAAGAGAATACTGGCTCGCAAAGACATATTGGAGTCCCTATGCAAGACGCTGTAGACATCAATGATTTTAATAATTCATCATCTCGACAAGATCGTAAAATTAAACCTTTGTTAGTTTTTAATTATAATATATAACTAGTTAAAATAGCAATAATATAACTATCTAAAGGTTATGGCATACTTTATTGTGTATTCTTTCATGTCATTAAGCTATCTTATGGTAATAACGGATTATGGGAATACGGATGCTTTTTCATTAATAGAGTTCTAAAGGAAGGATATATACCCCCACCGGACGTTGTTGCGCGCTTGAGAAAAATTGTGGAGAATACGTGTACAGTAGAATCTAGCCAATCTGATAACTGGAAAGAAATTAACTTAGATGATTTAGACATTAAGTTTCAAGTTTGTACTATTTTAATTAATTAATTCATCCTAATCTTTCAGTATTATTTTCCACCTTATCGATATAACCTTTACTGCTACACTAACATTCTACTTCGCTCGACTTTTAACAGATTCTAACAAAATGCCAGGAAGAATTTCAGTTAATTGTACCCAATTTTAAGTTATCATCAATGAAAAGTGTTCGTGACGTATTAAAATTTTATAGAAAGCCTATCAAAGAAAGAAGAATATTTAACAACATCGACATGGATCGATTGCCTTCAAACTTAATTATTCAGGCTCGTTAAGAAATTGAACATCCGCTAGTGTATTGTGCTCATGGTAATATTGCAAGTAACTGAGCTATGGTGAATTTAAAGCATAGCTATCATGCATGGCATGTCTGTACAAAAAGAATGATTTACAATTTGCTGTAATACAAACCTGTGTAATCGATTAAACTTTCATTACCTTATGCATGGAGCTAGGTAAAATTGAAGGGAATATATAGTATGTAACGTTAGTTACTATATAAATTAAATTTTAAGTATTACGACACTGTATTATTTGTCTTTATATTCTTCATAATGATTTGCTAATAAATCAGCCTTTGCTATCTACTTTGAAATATCGATATGTTGGTGGTTGTTGTTAGTATTTGATCTCTTAGAGAGTGACATTATTTCTTTACTAATAAAGAAAGCAATAGTGATACTAGTGCTGACGTTTCTGAGGATTAATTACTTAGCTAAGATCCTTATGCAATCAATACCTGAACCTGAAATGTGACGTTATCGCTATACTCTTTTGGAATCTGACTGTGTATTATATCATTTCTAATTAATCTACATAACAAAATAATAACGTAATTGCTTTATCATTCCACGATAGTGATTATACCGTACTTGCAAAACTAACAATTATACATGTGTGAAACAAATCTTTACGAACGATAGCTTGAATACAAAATTGCTACCTTCAAAATTATAGTTGATATTTAACACCCAATTTGATATAAAAGTATTAGTAAGTTGCATATGTTAATAATTAGAAAATAAATATCACGAAAGTAAAGTTGACAATTTTCACTTATCTTCCGACTTTAATTTGCATTATACAGAGTATGATTGATATATGTCATCTTTCCTAATATATCTGTTAACATGAATTCCGTAATGGTTATGATATAATCACTTCAAGCGAAGACATCGCGTACAGTATTATTTACATGGTAATACGATTTAAAATTATTGTAAATGCGAAAGAAAACCTATCGTTTAAATTAAATTAATGAAGTTATCATTCCTGCCAACAAAAAAATTAATAACTTTTTTCAGTTATGGAAATCTATCAGTGGCCAAACCAGAGGAAAACACCGATCAGTGAATGACAACTTAAATACAGATTGCAAATCAGTAGTACAAGCTTAGAATGTTATTAATTTATAACCTGTATATAACGAGTTACCAATGAACGGAAGCGATATTAAATTTTGGTTAGTAAAATTAGTGATTTTACTGATTGTACCAATAACTACTGTATCATACACGTTCACAGTGATGTATCATCTTCAAGCAACGAATATCGAAATTTATTATTTCCTAATACTTTTCCTATTAAGAGATGAAGCATCACGTAATTGATCATTTTAATAAACACAAAAAATTTGTTCTTAAAAATACGTATCCGTATACAATTGCAAAATAATAGCTATAAAACGTAAATTTGCAATAACAAAACAGTATTATGAAAACAAAGTCATAACTCCGTCTCATTTTAACAAGCTATTTCATACATAATTCATGTATGATAACAGAATTCCGCAATTGTACAGTTTGAAAATTTGTTTTTGTCTTGTTTTCGGTATAGACGTATCTCACTGTCCGCTACTTGCAACTTTATTCGATCTATGACTATAAGTATTATCACCATGTCTTTTAGACAGTCCCCCTAAACAAGATAAAAGTAAAAACATTGTTGTGCAACTGGAGCTATCCAAGATCGACAATTCGCATCATGTTAGCTATGTAGCTGTTACTAGTTCTGACTTCAGAAATAACAATTAGTAAATATACTGAAAAGGTAAATAAAAATACCCGAAAATGATGATCCATATTTACCTCTATGATACTCCTTCCGCCCTTTACTTAATTTATTGTCAGCATCTGCAAAAGAAAATTATCATTACAAGAAGTTAAATGTGAGTTCATAACTGTGAGTATGTAACCGCAGTCTACCTCCATTTTCGGCATTATATTCATGATGATTTTCCTTCAAACTGTTTTTCCATCCTAAATTTAATATCAAATTATAGCAGGATTGTGAAAATACCATATTAATAAATAAAGGAACGACTAAATTGCTATCGTAAAACTCGTAGGAATATGCATAAATATTGAATATAAGTTAAAATGTCTTTGCTGTAGAAATAGCAAAGATGCACGGATGATAATTAAATAACACAACAGAAAGAACAGCTGAGGGAAGTAATATATGAATGTTGAAATTTTATACCTGCGAATAAGCTCTCACAGTACTTTTTATATCGAAAGAAATTAGATAATTCGTATTTTAATTTATCATGGATTAAGGTACTAAGGGTTATCAGAATAATGGTACTAATACTAAGTCTCTCTGTAATTATAGCAGTATCTATAATAGTAAATTATATAATCGTTACGATGTATCATAGCTAGATCTTTTTATTATTTGTTTACCTTGAAATAAATAATCGGCAGCTTCTTTATGCATAAATGAATTCGGTATAGATTTATTTTGATACGTTGTTTTTCCTTCACTGGAAAAATGGTTGTTGGAAAGTTGACTTGCTTTATTTTTGGCTAAAAAAATTTTATACAGCATGAGTTTAAACAAAATTCAAGTCTACGAATTATGCAAGCTTTTTAGGGACGACAAACCCATTCTGCTAGATAAGAAATTGTTAGCTGCAAGAAAGGTAGTAAAATTTATTTATTGAATTTCAAGACCATCAAAGCCTATGCTTCTACTACATATAAAAAAGCGGTAGCATTGATATACGTATAGCTGTTTGCGCTATGAGTATAATCTCGATTATAACTTTATTTACCGTGAATCATTGCGTTGTCTTTTGCTGTTGTTTTGAGCTGCTTAACAGAATCATGAGTAGCTTCAAGGTTGCGATCTTCGCCACGGTTTTCGGCGACTTCTACTGATACTTTCGATAGCAGATCGGTACTAGCCTGCAGTAACTGGGATTCTGACGGTGGAAAGCCAAAGGGCGGTTCGTTGGTAATAGTCTGATGCCCTTCATCAGAACCTCGCGAGGTATTATCATCTAAATTCTTCAATTCCTGATCTGTAATAATCTTAGGTGAAGAATCAACATTAGAAGATTTTCGTCCATCAATAATATTGCCTTCAAGGGTCATCTCTGAAGAATTACTAGGTTCGACTTTAGGTAATCGTGAAGGAGATGGTGATGATGTACGGTGACTACCGTCGATACTGTTTTCTCTATGACCTCGATTTCCTCTTCCACTCTTGCCACGTATCAAGTAATCATTCTTTCTTGTCTTATTTCTAGATTGTGAACGCTTATCAGGGGAGAATTTATGTTCATTACTCCCGCTACCATATGATCTTCGATGACCTCTTTCGTCACGCTGTCTATCGCTGCTCTTACCAAATGGCTGACCGCTACTCGTAGTATGTTCAGTTGATCTAAGCCTCCAGTTATTTGGATCGCGCCAATTCTCGTTATTGCTTCTACTATTTTTACTACCACTGCTATTGACATTACCACTGTTACTGCTACTATTTGGATTAATTCTACTCTTACTAGTAGAAAAACTGTTACCACTATCAGTACTATGATTATTTTTATTAGGATTACTATTAGAGTTACTACTACGTCGCTGGCTTTGATAGCTTTCTTCATCCATTTCTGACAATATGCGAGCTTGCTCTTTAATGCGCTCTATCTAGAAAATAACAACAATACGCCACTTTACAAGATTCTCTAGTAGCGTTAACAAGTCACAGGAACGTAAAGCATTCAATATAAATAAATGCAAATGCAAACTGCAATATGCACCTCGATTTTAGTGTTTCTACATATAAGGATAACTTCATTTAGCCGCACTAACACATATGCACATTGCTAACTACCGCAAAACTATCACCAAATCTAGAAAATCTTTTCTAATGAGAAATATGTTAAGATTGCTCCATGTCACTCCTGTACCACTGTTAGACAAAATGGATACTAACGCATATTTTTAAGTAAGGCCAAACACTCACTATTGTTGAAACCTCAAATGATTGATTGACTAAGTTCTAAATACTTTCGCAGTTCATAAGCCCAACATTTCATGAGATATTATTTTGTACCCGCGGATTAATTACAATGGGATATAAAAATTAACTTCTGAAATCTCTAACTTAATATTTATCATATCATTTTCAAATCGTTTTCATGCGTAGAAAGTGGACAAAATTTCGCTATTTTTACTATCAGCTGCTTTCAATAATTACTATTCTTATGATCCCTAAACGCCAGGCGCAATACACTTACTCTAACAGTTAGATAATTATAATAGCCGTTAAATTAACTATACAGTCTCGTTTCTTAAATTTCTGTACTAGTTTTCATGATAAGTAGTTGCTACCATAATAACCAGCTTACCGGTAGCACAGTACATTCATCATAATCTGGTCGTACTATAGTAATCCTGTAACTGTGAACGGTACCTTAGTAATTTTTAAGTTTAGCTAATCATATTAGCGAATCACTTAAATGTGACAATATCCATAAAATAATCAGATAAAATTAAAAATCGTATTTTCTTAAAAACGTTAATTTATACATCGTATAAACACTGGACTAATCTAATTTTAATGAAACTATACTTACATATACGCTGGTTAAGACTAATTATAATTATTAGTATCTTATTCTATTAGCAAGATAGAGCCCGTGAGATGTTGAAAGTATGAAAGCTGTACACTGTGAAAGTATTCTAAACAGACCTAATGTAGTAAGATTGTACAGAATTTGGAAGCAATTCAAATACATATACTGCAATAGGATATAGTTTCTACCAAACTGCAATACAAGTTGAAAAATAATAAATTACGTATATCCTTGAGTACTGTACTACTTAGTCAGTACTTACTTTCCTTAAGGTTCAGTATACGAATCCTACTATAAATTTTATTCTACGTTGACTGTATTTTATAGCATTTACGCTATATAACATACTTCAGCTCGTTAGTCTACTGTAAATTTATATAGTGCAGCACACACAAAAATCGAGTAAGTATTTACAGAAACGAAAACTGTATAGTATATATCTACATGACTTCCTAAATAGTTTGGTAGAAGTGTGACGAAAAAGATAGGCGTAGCTAAGACAATCCAACTTTAGTTAATTAGAATATACAGTAGGTGCTACTTGACGCTATTGCAATATAATTATGAAGATCAATCCCCCCAAATTTTCATCGTACCAGTTATCTAGATATTATATGTGCAATTTAAACACAAGGTGAAAGTAACTTAAGAACTATATTTGTTTCTTCTTTTAGTTTTTAACTCTTCATCATAACTTGCTTATCGGTGCAGCAAACTCTAATATAACAATAGCTAAAATCACATAAGCAGCGTGTTATGCAAGCTTTAGAGAGTCAAGTGTAAAATAATTATAGCTAAGATTTGCTCTAAAACTCTAAATATATTAAAGTCGAATCTCTGTTCTGTACAATATGGTGTTGATCAGAGACATTGAAGAAAATCTCTCACGCTAATTTCGTGCTTGCATACAGTACTGTACAATATCAGCGGTGCAAGTTACTGTGCGACAGGAAAGTTAGCAATATTTGGGTGCCGTACAGTATTATATGTTTCATAGAAAAAAATGACAAATTAGTCAGATATCAATTTATATTAACTCACCTGTTTAAAATCAGTTTCTTTTGGTAATAAATCGTCGTAAATTTTCAAGAATTGGTCCACGTTATCGCCTCTTAATGCGTCTGCTAATGAGAATGATATGCCAATCCAATTCTGATTTTTGCTATGGTAATCATCCGCCATTGACTAAATGACGAACTACGCAAGCGCAAAGGGTTGAAGCGGTAATGTATCAGGTCTGTTATGGCCTGTAATGACTCTACTGTACTGTACACTGTACACTGTACTGTAGTGTACTGTACAGTACAATCTGATTATTTTCGATGTTTCCCCTCCGTTAAAAAATCAAAGTTGTACAGTACTGTATTCCGTTGAAATTCCTGTATAGTATTTATATAGACCTGTAGAATATAGAACTTATCTAGTTTGGGCCTGATTTAGCTTATACAATTATGTGTTTTCAGGGTGCCATCGAAAATAATCACACTCAGTACTGTACTGTACGTTGGGAGAAGAAACCTCTCTTTCCATACTGTATTCCATACCCTACCACTGATAGTACTGTATTGTACTGTACTGGATGTTCTATACGGTACTGTATTATTCTCTTTTTCTTCATGTAAGGATCATAATGACTCTAAAAAAATTAGAATTACAGTACATTAGACTCTAATCGAAAACGACTGATACTGTACTGTACAGTACTGTACTGTACGGTACAAAACCGTACAGTATATTTGTACAGTACATCGTACTGTACAATATGACTGTACAGTATTGTCCAGTCAGTTGCACGTAAATTTGGTCAAACACAAGTCAAATCATGGTTCAAATACGGTTTTCGTAGATCAACTCCCAACCGTGTGGTATACTGAATAGATGGGGAACTGCGTAAAGTGGTTAATCAAACTATTAATTAATTAAATACTGTACTAATGATTGCCTGCTGTGTTAATAAATATGCGTATATAGTAGACGGAGATACTACCCCTTCGTTGGTTTTCTTATCCGTATTACGAAGCTGGTGCATTAAGTAAATTGATAAGTCCATCTAGGGAACACTAAAATATGACAAAAGCTGAGATACTTGCAGTATTACAGTGACGCAGGTCCATAAACTATAACCGATACTTATCTGGACATTGATAAAGTACCTTTCAAAATCCTAATTACTCTTTAACCGTACTATAAAAAATAAAATTAAATTAGGAATCAATATTTTTACGCATGAAATAGAGTGCTATAGTACCGGAAGTACGGTACGGAAGTACATGACGTAGTCAGTAAACAGTACTGTACCTGGTAAACCAAGATACAGTTTGGGTACCTGTCTCAGACACTGTAATCCATAATGCCAACTACAAATGACAAGTTCTCAGTATAGGGTAATAAGTTAACAAACAGGCTTGGCAAGTCAGCCTAGTCTAATCATGGACTAGCTCAGTACAGTACAGTACAGTACTGCGCCATGATCACATTTGCAGCATGTCAGTATGACTGACAAGAAATATTGTTCGAGCACAAAAATTTTTCGGCATGGCATGGGGCAATTCATGAATTTGATTCATTTTTTAATGACTAAAAATCGAAATTTTACAGTTAATAATCGTAATATTGATCTTGGAGATGAAAGTTACCTCATTCAATGCACTATTTTTCACTGCCTTATACACAACATGTACATTGTACAGTGTCTGCGCGAATAAGTAGAGAACTGTACATAAGAAATCTCGCTTTACAACCGCAAGTGCTCAATGATATTACAGTAATGAATCAATTAATAATGCAATTAATGAGAGTAATAGGAGTGGTATTCCGCAACTAAATTTTAATAAATTGGTTATTGGTATTTTTATTAATTTTTACCGCAGTATTGAGCTATTTTATTTCTTTCAAATTTCTAATACAAACCAACAGTCACTAGTGCATATACGGTCGGTTCAACCAGTATACATAGCTCACGCAGTAATCGTGGTCATAACTACAAAGTTACTATTTTTTTATTCTTGAGGCCTACAGTTGTTTAATTACTGTACCCCACCTCAATGTTAATTATACTGTATGTTATTTATTATCATGATAACTTTTGTCACATAAACTGTAAATTAAAAATGAATTTGCATAAGCATTTATGAACAGACGTTCATGGGAAATCACAGCGATTGTTTCTGTTAGCATTTTTTGGATGTAAGAATTTGTTGGTGTACTTCTACCAACGGCTATACGAAGTATAATATAGTGAATTGATTATTGCTGTCGAGCACTATTAAAAGCATTATTAAATGAAGGGTTAACGTTTACGTAAGGCAATAAGCACGCAGTTTAATGCAATGCTTAAGATCACGTACTGCAATAAAGGCGTTTTGCGATATTTTGCAACGCTGCTAGTTGATAGCAAGACATACAATACAGTGTTACGCGTAAACTTCCACTGAAGAGCTTTGCCTAGTTGTTCAAGCTATTGCTAAATTACGTATTTAATTTATTCTTGTATGTGGCAATCTTATCCGCCGTCTATGTTCGTCTTATCTAACTCAAGAAGGTACAGTAGACTCATTTAAACCTTGCTCTCTACTCAATAATTTTGGCAATAAATAGAATACATACGAGGCTGCAAAATTGAATAAAGGCACAATATTGCACTCAAAGAACAAACCCTCTTATACTGGTCCTGCATTACTGCCAAGATCAATAGATGATTATTCTACTTTTATTGTTTATTGTTCTTTCATTTACCAATAACGTCTACCCGCATTGACACCTTGCCTGTTATGTAATACACTATAAATAATGCATTAACTATACTACCCTTGGTGCTTATTTGTTATCTTTTCTTCCTAAATTATAATACACATTAATACAAGTTCTACTTTTATCTTAAAACGCCTGTTCTAGCATAATTGTTCATAAATAATTTAGCAGCCATTGATTAAAATCCATCCAATTACAGTTGATCAACAACTCAACCCCTACGGTACAGTGCATTAGACCGTGCCATCCAGGCAAACAACAAGATGGCGGAAGGGGTAAGATTCGATTCTATTTCATCGCTTATTCAGCATTATTACCTTGATATATTGATCATTCATCGTTCATCAAGTGATTTTTGATATCGATTTAGAACATGTTCGTGTGGATAAGTAACACTTTGTAATTCTTAGAAAGATAATTCCATCTCAAAAGATAGATTAAAATTGCTTGTGAAAATTTGATAACTTACTGTACTGTATACTGTGTAACACATACTGTACAGTACAGTACTGTATTATTACATTACACAGTACTGTACAGTATCACAAGACGGCGTTGATAGTTTACATAGTCCTTGTGAGTACTTTTTACCTGTTGAAGATTTTAACATTGTGTTCTTTCCTTTCCCTACGTATTCAAATGTTCACTCAAGGTATTAAAAAAATATCAATATTAAAATATCAGTGTAAGAAATTAGTCTCATTAGTTGTCGTAAATCGTACGTATAAGATTAAATCCTTTCATGTTTTAAGTCCTGTCGACAGAAGATTGGAAATCTTTATCGTATCGAAACCATATTTCAAGATGTATTGATTGCATACCGTGTACTGTATAATAAGCATGAAAATAATCGTAAGGCCAATGTGTACAAATTCGTCTACACCTGATGTTTCTTAGCTTGGCTTTATTATAAACGCTAATGCTAAGTTTAGAAGGTATTTTTTCAACTTGCGTTCTTCTGCAGCAGACAAAACCATATTACATTATACAGTACAAATATAGAAACGAATACCAGCTTTATCCATTCACCATTAAATGCAATATCGTAAATAGCCTTAATATTGTTTCGATAGTGTCCTCATATCTCTTTCTTCGTTCTTTTAAGAAATTATTAAATAATTGGGCGTACTTAATGTTTATAAATAAATTTACTTTACTAGGCTATTGACGATTTTGTAGCAAAGAACTTTAAGCTCTATCAGAAACCTCCGTCTAAAGAAAATAAGTAAGTTATTTACGGGAATAACTAGTTATCCACTTCGATACTCGTACTCGAAAATGATAACAATCCATTAAGATTTTTTCTTCTTGATTTTCTTCTAAAATCTAGTAAAAACTAGTACAACGTTTTTAAATCTAATCTATTAATTATGAATAATCATATGTTATGTTTAATTAAACTTAAGATAATCAATCTTGTATAGATATATCTCACTTTTATCTATTACTATAGTATTACAGATGCTTACGGAGAAATTGAATTCAATTACGCCGGATATGAAGCATCAAAGGCGAAGGTTTGTCAGTATTTACTATTTATTAACAATTAATATGTTAAGGTCGTTTTGCGAGTTTATTTTTACTTTGCACTCTCATCTGCTTTATTAGTTTAGTACTTTCGTAACTACAGAGATATACCCTGATTAATCTTTTGTAGTATTTGTAGTTGTAATCTAACTTATATAGCGCTTAAAAATAAAATAGTTTAAGATGATGCTCACTCCTATGTTGAACTAAGAATGGTAAAATAAATCAACGTACTGTTCTAATTATTTAATTCTATGCTTGCTTAAATCCATCTTCAATAGAGCGCACAGTGTTTATTGTTTGTTTCTAAAGGTGTCGTTCTTGATAATGTATTATGTATCAAATTTGAGATTTTAAGATTAGCTTCGAATTTCCTTGCTTGAACAGTAACAGTTATTACCTGTTGAATATTTTCTGTATAACGCAATGACCTGCCTATGGAAGAAATAATTTTGTAGACCTACGCGGTGCTAATGTACAGTATGCCTTGCAATGGGAATCAAAACATCCCATTATCCCATGTGTATTTTCTTTATAAATACTAGTAACATCCAATGCGTTGTATAATCAGAATAGATATAAGTTCCATTAAGAATTAATCAAACATAAACGGCCTTAAGCATGTAGTGATGGTATACGAGCCTTACCTCACATCAGTTAATATCCATGATTCATAGCAATGCTTATTATTTTCTTTCTACAACCGTGAAAGAGATTCTTGTTTATTTCGAAGTGAAGTAATTATGCAATAATTTACTAAATAGTATCTTAAGACCTCCATTAACGCTGAAATAGCTAAAATTGGTGAGCTATTTCTTAATTACTGGAACATCCGTGAACCAGATTTGGTCATGTCGATGGTTGGTGGTTTCGAAAATTTACCAAGGAAACCTTCAATACTTCGATTAAATCAAAATCTTGCTGCAATAATGAAAAGAATATGCAGTTATCATTCAACAGCTATCATAACAAGTGGATACTGTGAAGGTTTCATTCGCAGTACTGCCAAAGCAGTAAATAAACAAGGTACTATCATTGGTATACCTTCCTGGAATTCCGTTTTTAAGAAGGAGTTACTCACGAGTAAAAAGGTAACTTGTCAATATTAGAAGTAGCGATTTAAATTTCTATATTATTATGATTAGCGTATGCCCACAAACAATGTTTGTGCGTTGAGGTTCGTCAAGCAATACTGTGCTGTATCGCTAGCTTAATACATTATAACCGTTCACACTGCATCTAGCAAATCAGAATCAGACAGCACGCACACGCACTGAATAAATCCAAAGCGGACACTGTTTTTTTTGTTATAGTATTCAAATAGATATAGATATTGGGCTGCATAGTCAATGCATACAATATATCAAGAACGTTAGTAATTTATGCAGGTTGGTTAATCGTAAAAATATTGACAATATAAATTTATTGATAGTAAATATTTACGTCGTTAATGCGTATCTAAGTAATAAGTAAGTGCCGTCTGTGCCGATGAAACCATACAGCACAAAATGAACTAAGCTGCATGTTAGCAGCTAATTTGGATGTCCATCGTGAACAGTATGGTATACAGCTGTAGACATGCGATACAGTTGAAATGGCTGGTAAAATACAGTAATTATTAAATTTGTGACAACCGCCTCCTGTCCCTGTCTTTTCCTTTTAGTAGTCTCTGGTGCGTATTCTATTGTACCTTAATTCTACGTAAGCAGGTTTTCTGCTAGTAGTAGATGAGTAACAGGTCAAATTACATACTGGATACTGGTACATTAGTATGCGGTAGCTTGCTTTGCTAGCTCCAAATATTACAGTAATAATAATTTTTTTACGTCTATGTTGCATACTATCAGTACAGTAGCCAATCAGAATGGGTATACATACAATTACCGTGCCCGTCTGACCGGCATGACAGAAAACGGATATAACATTTTTATATTGTATATATTGATAGATAGATTTTAAAACGTTAGTGTACAGAAATTTTGCTTGTGAATGATTGACTTTTTCGCCTCAGTTTATGATGACATAAATATGATTAGGTTTTTGAATACGTAAGTCATCAATCTTGTAGGGTAAAGGGCGCTTTCCGGCTAAGTATGTCGTAAACAAACGGGAATCGACTGTTGGAGTATCCGCCCTACCGCTAGATCCGTGCCACAGTCATTTTTTGCTACCTGATGATGATAGCAACGGTTCTGAAGGAGAGGAAATTCCATTTCGCATCAAAATTGAAGAATTTCTCTCGAAGAAGCTTGTTCGCAGTAAGTTAAAAGTAGACGAATACTATTGATTAAACCATCCTAAATAACAAGATCATTAGAAAATTTACAATGAAAATACGGCTAATATTGATAAAGGTCATAAGAGAACTCGGGTATTTAGCAAAGTCCCTATTGTCTGCATTGTGATTGGTGGAGATGAAAACACGTTCCGTTATGTTGATGAGGCTTTGCAAAAAAATCATCAAATCGTAATCGTTCCAGGAGGCGAAGGAGCTGCTGATATTATATGTAGTCATCTTAGCAATAAAAGGTTACAAACCCCTGTGTGTTGCATTAATGATACAAATTTTATCACTAGTCTTTAACTGCTTAGTTCTTTATTTTGCACAGCATAACAAAATTGAACGATGCAGCAAAGAAAAGTATACAAGAAGCTTTATGCAAAACTTTTAAATGGAGCGTTTCTAAAGATAATGATAAAATTGATCGATGCATCAAAGGGATAAAAGCGATACTATCTCATAGAAGCAAAGTAAGGTTCTGCGCTACAGCATTTAACAGCTATTTTAATTGTGCGATCTTGTAACACATAGCATTACTCTTGTTTATTGTATTATTGTTAATTATCAGTTACTAGAATCTCTTATATATATTTAGTAAATTATATTTATGTATAGAAAGCATTATCATTGGAGTTTCCCTAAAGTTTAGTTGCTTCAGTCTAATAGTGAGTTAGAACGCTATTCCCGCAAAATACTTCAATATTTTTAAATGTCAGGGATTATTTATAATTTTATGTATCAAGTCAATGTACAATATTCCCGATATAATGTTACTTATCAGTGAATAGCTACGCATAGTATTAGGGTAATTTAGAAGTTATTACAATCATTTTCGTTTTATAGGTTACTATAGTTAAGGAGACTGCAACCGCTGAAGTTCTGGAAAATGCCATCTTCAAATGTTTATATGGTAGATATCAACTATGCTATTTGTTTATAATATGCATGTTTTAGTGAAATATATAAGTTTTGACAATAAGTTAACCTAACATCGTTAATTGTTAAAACTGTATTAAGATGCTTTATTATGAATGATGTATTATTGTGTAAAGGAGAATATTGTGTTGCTATTATTAAGTCATTTTAACGTAGTTATATTGCATTACAACTAATTAGCTTTGGCTCAAAATAAGGAGGAGAAAAGAAGTTTAGAAGTTGTTTGGAATAAAGTCGACTTGGGCAAATTAATCAGTAATAATCTTGAAGTAAGTTAAATATATACAAGGATTGATGTAATAACATGAACTAATATTGTACATTGAAAGTCTTTCCATCATGCTTCGAATATCAACACAAGATTTGTAATCCACGTTCTGATATTTCTATTTAGGCAGAAGGGTCCGATGACGAAGAAGGTGAAAGTCAACTTGCCATCTTTAAATTTCCTGCGAAGAATATGTTATCATCTACTAATGCGCTTGCAAATAAAGACGGCAATGAAATCAATCGCTCATGGACCGATGCAGAAAAATATCGAGTGCAGAAAGATGCTGCTAAAGCGATAACGGCAAATAATGACACTGGAAAACCTTCCAAGAAATCTTCTAAGCCCAAAGATATTGCTATAACAACTAATAAGGCCAGCAAAATTAATCAACGCAGTGTATCATCCCAAGATCTTAGTGGTCCTATTCCTAGTAAAAGATCACCTTTACCAAAGACGCCAGAGCATGAAGTTATTACTCAACCATCAGTGTCTCCGCGATCAAGAAAATCAAGCGGTGAAAGAAGCCAACATATTTCACGTTATAATGCGCTAACTGTATTAGATGCAACGATTAGAGATGGGTTAAAAGAAAATTTACGAGCTTTAATCACTACTAAACAAGTGCAAGCAGAGCAGGCTTTGGAAGTCGCGTTAACACGCGATCATTTGACTGGAAATCATATTGCAATCGTTGATTTTTTGATCAAAAATGAGTTTATCGACATGTCGACTTTTGTAACGGCAGAAACATTAGAGAGAATATATGATAAAGTAAGATTGTGCTGGACGCTATATGAAAATATCTTGACTTGCTATTCGGAAGATAACCGTATTTTGCAATATCAAATTACTTTATACTTATTAGTATTTTTCTTACTTGCGTAGTTGAGTAGTAATAGCCAGTTACTAAACGATTCCTATTTATAAGACATATTGTCGTTCATTATTGAAGTAATTAAATAGATTTTTGTAATACTTTAAAATTTGATACTTGTATTTCTGGAAAGCATTGCTACATTGTTTCAGGTAGAACTTATTGGTTATTTTTAAAATCTAATTAGACTTGGAATATACCTTCCTCTGTGATGTACTGGGCGCGGAAGATCAAAATAATCAAGGAGGTAAGCCTTTAGTCAAGTCAGAGTGATCATTTCATGGATATAAGTTACGTACCATTTGCAATGGTCGGAGTAAATATTTTTACTGATTTTAGGAGAGAAATACCATTATATAGCCTAGTAAGTTTATATTTGATATTTTTAGGAAAAAAAGGAAAGAAAAAGTTTATTATTTGAAGCTGGCAAAATTTTATCTGTACTGATAAGTGATCACTGTACTAATGTCTACTCACAATTTGGTGAAGATATCGAAACGGCAATCATTGATGTTGACGATGGCAACTCTGGTGATCCATTTACTCATCTTTTCTTATGGTCTATTATGACCGGACGCTATAAGCTATCTTATGTTCTATGGAAAAGAGTCGATCATCCCATTACCGCTGCTATTGCAGCCAACCGCATTTTATGGAGATTGTCAACTAATTCTGTATTCAAAGAAAAGTCTAGAGAGGAATTTATACAGCTTAAGGATGAATTTCAAACAAATTCAGAGTTAGTAGTAATTAGAATCTAAGTTAATCTATTTTCTGGTAACATAAATACTGTACAGAGTTACTAGAAAAGTTTTTGGATCAGTTCGGGGTGTTTAATTGTATTAAAATTACTTAATTTAGTTAACTAATACAACTTAGATTAAATTCATTACAGTACATCTTTGCAAACAGTCGAAATGAGAAAATAGATTCGTTTTACATAAATTTAGAAATAATGTGTTAAAGTGCTAACCAACTTTATGCTGTGATATCTAGAAGCTTTCAGATAAGTATTATAAGTTAATTATCTGAAAGGGATAATTGCGGCACTGTTTATTGCTCAGAAATACATGAAATCTTACAATTATCTTACTCTCTTTATTTCAGTAAGTTTATGCGCTTAGCTGTCAAGATTATGGATGAACAATATAAACATCATCCAATTAACACCGTTATCATGCTATTACAAGAATTACCGGAGTGGGGATTCAAATCTTCCTTTTCAATGGCTTTCTCTTCCTCATCTTTAGTGCCATTCAATACTCACAATGCATACGTTGATTGCTTACGGTATTTGTGGACAGGAGATTTCGCAGTTTTTACGCCGCTGTGGAAGGTTATAATTAATTAATTAATATTATTTTGATAAACTTATTCAATATCTTTAGAACAAAATGATTTAAATTCAGTTAATTTATTAATACTAGAGATTCTTTTAATTGCATACTAGATTAAAGCGTTATAGCAGTTTGCCTCTTTTCTGTATGTACTAATTGTAAACATGTAACGTAGTCGCTGTACAGCCAATAATTAATTGGACTTAACTCAATCATCCTTAATTGTGTAATTATTACTTCTCCTACTAGCAGTAATCTAGTCTAATCACTCATCTACTCTACAGTTATAGACAACCCATCAATAGTAACTTACAATATGTTATGTATAACTAGGTTAATGGGATTTTATTAATCATTTATCTGCAATATCCATCTATAATAGGTTATTTTAGCTTTTATTCTACCGATACCATGCCTATTGTTTCCATCCTTTATTAAATCGAAAGCATTGCGAATTGGATGCTATAGTAAAACCAATGTTAGCTTTAATAATGATGATGAAGATAGTGTCTCAACTACACGATCCTCTAACTTATGCAAGGATTTTATCTTACGAGTTTATCACTTTTATACTGCTCCTCGCATCAAGTTTACTACCAACTTTGTAAGTTTCATTAATAATGCTATATATGCAATAAATAGATCAATTGATTAGTTCTTATATGCTAGTAGCTATCCAAAAGTGCACGGGAATACTATTATGATAAGTTGATATTTACTTATCTGATGTAAATTATACTATTCTAACTAAAATCGATAATTGTTACTGCATTGATATATTGCTGCACTTTTATTTTAACTGTATTGTTAACTACTTTGGAATTAACATGAATTCGTCCTTCAATTTGGTTGACGACGCGATTCTTGTTAACGATAAATTTACTGTTTGTATGTATTATTCTACCATTTTCTAGCTCGCATATGTGGCCTTCTTAATATATTTCGCCATATTTCTACTATTTCTGTACGAAGATAAGTCAATGAATATTTATGAAGTAATTCTCACGGTATGGTGTCTCGCATTAGTATTCGAAGAAATACATCAGGTAAGTGGCTATTCCATAATTAATTTTAGTTATAACAGATGAAACTGAATTTTGGTTGATCACTTCCATCTCTCTTTACACTTAATTTGGAATAATGTCAGATTATGGAAACCCCTCGCAAGACGTTTTATAAGAAAGTTCGTCTTTGGAATTCGGAATACTGGAATAGAATTGACGCGGGCGCTTTAATCACCTTTTTCATAATAGTCGTCCTGCGAAATTTTTTTCCTATAGTTTATTTTGGTCGCATATTCTATGCTATTGATTTCATCATATTTTGTTCGAGAAGTCTGCAAATTCTCTCTATTTGGAGTAACCATGGTCCAAAACTTGTTATGATTAGGAAATTGGTAAGATAGGATTGGATTACTTGACTACAGAAAATCTTTTACTTTTAATTATCTTCACTTGTCTTTCGATTGATGTCACTTTTTTCCATTCTTTGAACCGCTATTGTAAAAGCTAGCGTTACGTTTGCAATAAATGTTGACTAATTAAGGATATGATATTTGCTTCAGTTGCTCATCTAAGTGAAAATGTTTCTATTTTTATACCTTTAAAGTACAAAGTAAATCAAATATATTAAGATGTGCAAATCACGATTCGCGTTTCTAGTAATATGATACTAGCGTACTTTTGGATGTATTATTTATAGGTAAAATTCTTACAGATGATTAATTATACTCTTCTTTCTCAATTTATTTAAAAATCGTTATAGCTGAACGACCTGATGTCGTTTGTGGTGATATTATCAATCTTCTTGATTTCATTTGGTGTAGCCACTGAAGTTGTGTTACGATCTGGTCCTGAATATAAAAATTATCAGTTTACAGCTAGAAATATTTTCGCTCTGCCGTATTACAGGATTTATGGCGAACTTTACCTTGATGATGCAAATCTTGATTGCAAGAATGAGACTCTCGGTACTAGCCTTTATAATAACTGTATGGCGAGAAATGTAATTGTCAATATCCTGATCGTTATTTACCTCCTGATTACAACAATTTTACTACTCAATCTACTGATTGCTATATTCAAGTAAGTCAGCTGTCTAGTCTTTAAAAAAATTAATGCATTCAATAAGATAAGTAGATTTTTAATATGTTATTCAATTTTGTTGACTGGCATATAGGCTTGCAGTTGCGCTTATTCTTAATTATGTTTTATTTATATAACTTAACATAGTATCTCATAACTTTCGTAATATTTGGCTTGAATATATTAAATTTATTAGTTTTGTTAATCAATTACAAAACTCAAATTAATCAGTTTATCATGTTGTAATTGTAAAGTGTATTGTTTCCAAGCATTGCATCGTGGTTAGTGGATTGCGGGTATTGCATGCTCGTATTTCAATTTGTTTCTAAAAGTAATTTATTAAATTTATTAAAAAATTTTTATGATATGGGATTAATTTTACGACACTATTTTAGTAATTATTATATTAATAATCTTTATCGGAATATTTTAAATAGTTAAAGGGTTAAGAAAACTACCTTGAAAAAATTAGAAATTTTAGACTCTATTGGGTTATAGTTATTTGATGATTAATATATCGTACTATGATTACTAATCAAATCTATATTTCTATTTCCATTAGCAAAACATACGATAGGATAGAAGTGGAAAGTATCAAAGTTTGGCGAATTCAATATAGAGAACTCGTTCGAGAATATTTGTATCGATTGCCACTTGTACCGCCATTCAACTTAATTCTTGCCGTACCTTTTTTGATTAGTAAAATTATGTATGGATTGTTTTCTATCGAATGCCTACAACAATTTCAAAGTCGAGCGCTTCACTTAAGTATGATTATCAAGATACCATAATATATTACGCTATTGTCTTAAATAATAACACAGACAAGACACTGAAGTATATAATATTATTTCATATTTTTACATTTTGGTACTTGCATTTACAGAAATATTGAAACAACACTTGATGACTGTCAATTACGATCTATGGTATAAAATTCAGAATGAAGAAAGAGAAGCGTTATGTCGTGTTACTAGTCAGACTTTCAAAAATGAAGATGGTAAAGCTGTTGAGTAAGTCGTACTTGAAGTCTAATCGTTTCCTGATTATAGATATTCAGATTATTTATCAATATAAAAAGTAGTAGTTAGCACTCTAAATGTTACAGTTGTTCAATTATACTGTATGTTATTGATAACTATTTTTTAAATTACAATATTAATCGTGATCATAGTCGTTCTATTACATTTTGAACTAAATAGTAATATTTCTTTCATATCAGGAAAAATTACGTTTTTCCTAACAAAATTCAGATCGGTACTATTTCTGATATCGATATTTATGCGGGTCTTGAAAGAGATTCTTTCGCTTCCATGAATGATATTCTGCATGATTTGCTGGAAAGGTAAATTAATTTTCTTTTCTAGTAGAAAATTATCCGTTAGAGTCCATTTGTGATATTAGAAATAGAAAAGCAACTACTGATTTAATGTTGGGTAGCATATTTAATCCTAAATTGAGATAAGATCAATAGTTGCAGTCTGTGTAATGATACATTGATCTGTTTCTACAATTAATGGAATATTTTAGGCAAGCAAATATGGAAAGGTACTTATACAAAACGCAATCTAACAGCAAATCTACATCGAAATCAAAGACTTCGATGTTGCGTTAGGCACATTAAAGTAATCTAGGGCTTACGTTGGCAAGAACAGCACAAGAAACACTTTTTACTCTATTACCAAGTGCTGCCATAGCAATGGTTCAAAGTTACAATACGTACACTTAAAGTTTTTAACTGGTAATAGTATTTAGGATAAACATAGACATAAATCCTATATCTTCTATTATTATCGGAGTAAGAGGTACGATTGATTTTTTAATGCAATTTTAATAGTGATACAAATGATTTATATCATATTTGTGCTTGTTATATAATTTTATGTCATTGCTCACCTGTTAATAGTTTATCAGTTTTGATAATTCTAATTTCTGAACTGGGTACGTTAATTATGGACTATTAGAACAGGATTAATTTTAGTATAGTGGGTAAGAAAATACTTAACTTTATTGCTGAGAACTGTTGTTTGGTATAATATGTTCGAGAGTTGTTTGGCTGCATATATGAAGGGAGAAAGTCGCGAGATTGGCAATCTTCATTTAGGTACATGATGTCTTTCGTAATAATTGTTTGATATGGGTTTATGTACTGTACAGTACAAGTGTAAGTTCTGTATCAGAGTACAGCTTTTAGCTTACAGTTAAGAGTAACCAGCATTATTAAGAGTAACCAGCATTATATAATATAATATAATGCTATACTGTTTAATTTGTTTAGCTTTTATTAATTATTGATGATGTCACAGGAGATATACTTTGAGATTCTTGTAGTGTTCATAATTAATAGCCAACGGTATAATAAAAAGTTGCTATCTTATTTTGTTGATGCTAACATTATCTATTAATTCATTATGATTATTATAAACACAATTGATTATACCTTCATTCCGTGATGGGCAAAAGTATAATGTACAGTGATGACCCAGACCCTGTCACTCTTGAGGATTAGGTACTACCAAGAGGGTAATATACGAGTATCTTAACAGCTAACAATACATTTTATAACAAGTATTGCCGCATCTCCCTTGATAGCTGAGCTTTTACGTACAGTAACTGTCTACTTTGGAACTGATCAATACCGAATTGACCTAGTGACTTTTTCTAGAAGGTTTTCTAATGCAACTAGTAACATGAAAAAAACATCTTACAATTTAGTAAATGATAAGGTGTACAGATATCAACAAGGAGTATAAGATATACTGTATACTCGTATGTCTACATTAACTTTATATCATACAGCCGTGCCAGAAGGAAATTTTATAGTAAAGAGATGATTTATGTACAATGTACATACACTACACTGCTGTAGATTCTACAGCCAGTACGATACAGTACTGTTATAAAAATACACAAATATAACAACCGTATTGATGGTCGTGAACATAAAGTTTTTCTTATACAAGGTGTAGCAAAGGTCTTTTCCGGCGTTTGAACATATGTCAAAAGTTTTAATACGTAACTTTTTAAGTTTTTTGACACAAATTTGGTATCAATCGATACAGTATCTCTATGGCAGAGCTCTGCAAACCATGACTGAAAACAAGCTCACACTAACTCTACCTGCTCATGCAAATGATATACTGTACTTGCCACTGCCCAAGCCTGACTACGCCTGACTACGCCTGACTAACATACTGTATTACTTGTCGGATCAAGTGCATTAACGGACTCAAAGATATTTTTTATACTATATCATATAGACATATACAAATAGGCAAAACACTAATCTAAACCTGTGCATCATGAATTTTGCAGCTAGCCTAAACTAGACCCACCAACGGTTCTGTAAATAGCTAGTTGACACATCCAAAGCCCATCGTAGTTACATGACTTACACCCGCAACTTACATGGTTTAGTATTTACAAAGTCTTGCTTTAATGCACAGAAGTCCTGGTATTATACTGTAAATTGAAGATCCGCTATCTAGAGTTAATACTAAGGATAACAGAGTGTTTACATTTGCTTCAGAATACTGTATAAGAATTCTATTTAAATGCTATTATCAATATTAAAACTGTATAGATTTTAGATTTTATACCAGCATGTAGCTAATGACCTGAAGATTCTTTGTATACTGTAGTTTTTACTATATTGTCTGTATTACTGTACTGTACAGTGTACAGTGTACAGTACCGTAATCTCAATCTCACAACTTGCCAACTTTACGGCCGTCAATCTGGATTAGTACAGTACTGTATATTGTAGTGCTGTACAGTACTGTACTGTAGTGTACAGTACTGTAGCTACAGTACTTAGTTACCGCCCAACTTGCTCTCAAACCTTCGTGTGAATGTCGTAATCACAGAGTAAAATAAAATAAAATCTAAATCTATTTTCGTTTTCAGTCAATACTACTATTCTCTATAATTGAGAGATTGATTCCTTGATGTAATCTTCCATTAGTGAATAACACTACATGAATAAATAGCATGAAGGACTTTACACGTATTATATATATAATTATAAGTCATTCGGCTGACTGATGTCAAGTGTCTTAACTGAATTATTACATGTATACTGTAGTTAGTTTTTTTACCTGTGAGTAAAGACAGGTACTGAAGACGATTAGTAAACACCGGTGTTGTGCTTCGGTGTGATAATTACAGTATATAATTTAGCTTTGGTATCAGCCCGGTTATGTCCATAGTTACGTTACAACTAGGCCAATTTGGCAACCAGCTTGGCTATGAGTTCTTTAATACTGTTCTTGACGATATTTATTGTTTTCACGGAAAGAATACTCTCAGAAAGAAACTTGCCGCGACTAATAAGTATAATTACGAAGATGCCGCTTTCGAGAGCTTTTTCTATGCTACATCTGACTTACCATTAGCTCGTGCTGTTATGATTGATACAGAAGCGAAAGTAGTCGATGATGTTTTTACCAAGGTGGGTGATAATAGTGTACTACCAACTTGGGATCTATTTAGTGAATTGAGGCGATTAATTTTGATCTGTAAAAATTGAACACCCATTTGTTATCCAGTTTATTGAGAAATGCAGTATACCTGCTCGTGATAATATTCTCATGTCATCATAATTGATTGAAGGCTGCTTACTAACGATACTACTTTTATTTGATCGCCAGGCGAAAATGAGTAAATTGTGGTCGTATGATCCAAAATGTTGTATACGCAAAAAACGAGGCTCTGGAAACAATTGGGCTCTTGGATATTGCATGGATGGCGATCAAGTTTTACTAGAAGAAATTATGGACAGCGTGCAAAGGCAAGTTGAGTACTGCGATCGATTTAGTGGATTTTTGCTATTAATGAGTTTAGCTGGTGGAACTGGATCTGGTCTAGGTACGCGATGTACCGAAGAGTTACGAGATCGTTATCCTAATAGTCAGATTATCAATGAAGTTGTTTGGCCTTACAGTAATGGAGAAGTTATTGTTCAAGATTACAATACAATTTTAACTCTTTCTCATTTATATAAGGCATCAACTGGACTCATTATTCTAGAAAATGATAAATTACATGAAATATGTACAAGACTGCTCAAAATAAAAAATGTGGGCTTTCATCACATTAATAGAGTCATTGCTCATAAATTAGCTGGAGTTTTGTTACCTTCTACTTGCTTGCAAAATCAACACTCAAAACGAAATGACTATGCAGGTAATATCTATCGCACAGGTTGCACTAATTACAGTATACGTACGGTATTATTGATTGTTCACTTCTTTGCATTCTTATCTTCAGGGATAAATATCTTCGGTGAGATCGGGGAGCATCTATGTAGTCATACCGATTACAAGTTGTTGAATATTATAGATATCCCTCAGATTCCTGATCACTCTTTCGATTACACCAATTATAATTGGCACGGACTGTTAAAACATCTCCATCAAATGCTAATTGCAAATGCATTTATGGAGGAAAGTAAGTATACTCATATTGAGGTGAATTTTATATTTTCCGTTATTACAGTCTACAGGGATATCCGCTCGAGAAATTACGTAGATCTGAAAAAGTGTAACATAATTGCTTTCTTTTTACTTACTAATTCGGCTTTAAAATTTTTAGACATCAAATGGGAAGTTAAGTTACCATCCCCTAAAGCACTATCTCAAAATAAAAAGCTGGCGAAGTTATCATCTGGATTGCCTGTTCATAGCGACGTTATGGTTAATAAATCAATCGCAAATATGTTGGTAATTCGAGGGACTGAAATCGATAAAGGTAGATTGTATACTGTGTATTTATTCACTTTACGTATTAGCCACGGTGTAAGATAGGATGATTGCTAGATTAGGCCAAGATTTTTGCTGTGATAGGCCATTGGTATCGTTGCAGCTTAGCAGTAAAATAACGTAATAGCATCATAAGTAATCGTGGACGGTGTCACCTTGCTAATATTAAATACAATTCTCTATTAAGCTGATATAGGCGCGTTTCGAGATTCTCGCCTCTATGTAAATTGGATGCCAAATTCTTCTGGATTAGCTACTAGAGTAAATAGTCGTCCTTATAATAAGTACGAAAAATCTGCTTTTCTGCTGAGCAATAGCCAATTTTGTATACCAACTATAAATAATGTAACGGAAAAAGCATGGAATATGTTTGCAAACCGTGCTTACATTCATCAGTACATTAGCAACGGTATATCGGAAGATGATTTCATTGACAGTTTTGCTACTGCGGAACAAATTATTACTAATTATAATAAGCTATAAAATACATGAGTATATTTATGGCCAAAACTGGGATAGTTTTGCTTGTCCAAAAAAGACAAAATGTTGCATGCTAACTAGTAAATTATGTTAATAATACTTTGCATCTACAGGTAGCTGTAGGAATTTTAACGTCACATGTCTGTGATTGACGAGAGCGTAGCTTTGTAATTGATTTCCAAACTAGGAGAGTAAAATAAAAGTACGCCCTATTTTCTTTCTGTAGCACTAAAGACTAGCATTGTTAATGGATGCACGGCATCTCCAATCTGTATATTTTACAACAGCTTTTGCTTTAAAGCATTCAAGACTATTCAGCGAGTATGGATAATTGCTAAATTTATTAATTTACAAGTAGACCACTTTCACTATTCAGCACACAGATACACTCATTATAAGCAATAAGCATAGTCAGCAAAGATTGAAGCGAAACAATAATTAACGTTTGGTAATGTGATCCTACCGAATGATATCACATAATATATAATCGTGTAATTGAAAAAGAATAGTACATTTCGCTTAAATATATACAGTGCAATTTGAAAGTATTTCAGTGAGACCTATGATTAATTGGATAGACACGAATATAAACAGATCGATGTATTCAATTGCTCCAGTCATGATTTCACTTTTTATGTATCTTATAGAAATATCATTTACATAGAAATTGTTTTAAGCTTCGTAATCTTATAGCATAACAAGTTTATGCAAACAGTGATAATGCTATAGTCAAGTGCAATATACGAGTAAAATCAATTAGCAACCTTCATCTCTTCAATTTTGGAGTTATTGAGCTTTTTGTAACACTCAAAACTGCATAATGGTAAATTTAATTTAGAATCAGCATACCGGCGAAAATTCTTACAACCGTCTACTGTACATAATTCTCGTTCTTTCGGGCTGTAAATATAATTGTTGAATGATGAGTATCACCTTACTCGAATAGTAACCATGGAAAATGTTATTAACAGATTTAATCATCAAAAGTCACCGCGTTCATGGCAGAAGCAAAAGTAGAATAACAAGAACTCACATTTTTATGGTCTGAGCGATCATAGGGAATTCTATGTTTTCAGGAAAGGATAAGCTAAAAAAATTTACACGATTTGTATAACGGATTCTTGGAATATCTTTACTTCCCATAGACTTCTAAAAGTGATAATATAGGAATTTTATAAGGGATTAGGATGAAAATAGTGTATCATCTAATCCTACTTTTAAGTGTATATGCGCTATTTGAGTTAAAGTTGCACATATCATAATGCTTACCTTAGCTGCATCTTTTCGAGAACGACTAGCTTGTTTGTACAATAATTTATCAATAGTTTGGGCCTATCATAAGTAAATAATTTTAAGCTGATTCTTATCTCAGACAAACATCAATTAATTACTTATGGCTTTACTGTTAGCCAATATAAACGTAAGTAAAGTGCCCTAACTTTATTCTGTTCAATTTTTTTTGCAATTTGTAACTTTCTCTTTGTCGCTCGCTGTTGCTTCCGTTGTAACATTTCTTCCGTTACCTCTTTGCTTTGCTTGCGTCCTAGTTAAGAAAGTGGGATGTTAACTTAGAATAGATCTTTCCAATTTTCTTAGCCGTTTTTATCAAGTGTAGTAATGCATATTACTATTAACTAATTGATTACCCATAGGTAGTTCTAGTAAAGGTTCTACATATTCTACTTCTCCCATCATCGCTCGCTAAACGTAACGATTGAATAAAGTCCAGATAATTTCAATAGTACAATAGTCCATCTTTATAATTTTTAAACAAGCACATAGTCTCACTTGTCTTGCAGTCATCATGGATTTCTTCCTTGCAGTTCTGACTCTTCCATTTTCATCTAAGTCTCCGCTTTCCAGAGCAGCAAGCCATTCGTCCTCACTTATACAAATATGCAATGAACGAATGATACACGTTGACAATGGTGTAAAGCAGAAGACAAAATTAGATTTCTATAAATAAATATAGCAGTTGTTCTTGGACTATAAAGGGCTGCTCTTCTACCTGTCTCCATTTTCTACATTGACTTCTTGGGATTTTTCATCTGCAGATGCTGTTCATATAGATTATTTCATTAAGCCATAGCTATACATTTTTGGCAATACTGGCCTTATAAAATTGTATTAATTATGCTATGTACAGTATACTAAAAGATAGAAAATAATGCATTTTATGATTTTACCATAATGTTCATCTTCGTGTCTTTCGCTATTAGCACTGTAGACCTCTATATCTTCCTCTTCTTCAGATACCATAAACTCTCTAACCCTGTGATACAAGATAGGAGTCTATCTTAATTTATTCATAAAACGCTAGTATTTTAGGAGCCCGATTTACAGTATACGGGCGTAAAACTCTAGTTTATGAATGATTGTACGTTGTTATGCAGTTTATTCAATTTCGCGAGATTTTAGTGCAAGGGGCTAGTGTACCTCTCATGATAGTCGTTTATGACAGTAAATGCACTATAAAAGAATTGAAATAATTTAAATCCTGCAATTTTTTAATGGGACAAACTTACTGTGCGTGGGTCGTAGCTAATGTTTGGCCACCAAGTTTAATCTTTAATTTGACTTCTCTACCTTTACTTTCAGACGACTCTTCCATTGAGCCATGTTCTTTCTTTCTTTTATGTTTCTTATGCTTATGTTTATGCTTCTTTTTATGAGTTGGTCCTGAATAAGATAAAGCTAAGCTGTAGTCTGATCTACCTATTTATACCTTTACTAAATCATACGGTGTAAATGATCGTATGGTAGATACTACTAGATACTATTGTGGTCAATTATAATAATTAGTTTCACGATCACTGCATCGGCATCAGGATGAGCAAGTAAAGAAATGATATGTAGTTATGCCCCAACTGCTATTGATATACCTAATTGTTTAATACAGTAAATGAAAGTATTGAAAATCTAATCTCCAACAATAGTAGAATTAAATATTACGTAGATTTGTAAATTTATCTACCAAAAATAAAAATTGACCTATCTAATGCGCTGCAATCAGAAGAGAAATACACACCGTTGATTACTGAATATCTACAGTATACGTACAATATACTGTACATACTGTACTCTATACTGTATAATAGTTTCGTCAGTCTCATGATAAGGTGAAATGGTTAAAATACTACATCGTGAACTTACTTGAATTATTTACTTCCTCTTCCAATTCTTTATTCGATTTCTGTTTCCCCATTACAGTTCTTAATGCCGCGCCAATCTATTGATGAAAATTAGTTTCAGCAACAACTGAAAATAATATTCCAATCTCTCTCTTCTCTCTTCAGTAGTCCACTAGTCCCCCTATACTGCACATTGCTCCATACAATCCGTTGATCTGCATCAATTCTTATGAGTTGTCAATTTCTAGAGCTTCTTCTAGCCGATATGGTGTGCCGATACCAGTACGGTACGGTAAGTCAATGTACTGTACACTGAGTGTACAGTACTGTATAGTATTGTACCGTAAATACTATTCAGGTGCTTGAGTACCGTACAGTACAGTACTGTGTATGGTAGTCACAAATACGGTACAGTGCAATGTACTGTACACTAGTGCGGTACTGTACTGTATGACACGGCCAGTCTGACTGTACCCTGCACTCTCCTGGTACGCGCACAGTTGGATTGAAATCTAGCAAGATTCGAAAATGGCGTACGGCTATCTATCGCCACCAACTGGAGACTAACATTGAAACGATTTACTGTAAAATTGATACACTATAAATAAGATTGCTGTTGTCACGATCGTTTACTTTAAATTGTGGCTTGAAAATTGAATTCATCCGGCTTGATTATGGAGTCAACATTCGAAGCTAATGATAATCCAGACGGTAGGTAGTATCCATATTTTGAACTTGGTGTTACAGACGGTCAAAAACTAATTTCCAAACTACACATTTATGCAATGGTTTTTATGATAGCGGGTATAAACGCATATTAACGACTTAAATTATCTTAGCCAACTGTAAAATTATGTCTTTAAACCTACTGTTAAGATACTGAATAACACTCAATACAAGAGCGTTGCTAGCTGATACTGGTTGACGTTATCAAATTAGTCAAAAATTAATCTGTAGTCTCAATTAATTACAGAATTATAGTACAGTAGTGTTTGAATGTACTGTTTCCATTTGCATATTCTCGCTGACAAAATATGGACAATGCCATTCTACGTGATGATTACAATTTCGAATGACTTATCACACTGTAAGGTAGATCATCTTTTCGTAGCAAAGATGATCACATTAGTGCGTAATACAGTATGTAATCGCTCAATAATGCAGTACTAATTCAGAATTACATACTGTATGATATTTCAGACTTCAAACGTGAAACATATTCGTTATTACTATACTTCTTAATCACAGGCCACGGCTACAAAGATGTTGAATAGAGATCCGTTAAAAAGTGTCTACCTATTTACTTCGCTTCATGTTCTAGTGATTGCTATTCCTAGAAAAGCTGTTTGTGCAATATTGTATGAAGTATAAGTATTGTACTTCATCTACTATGTACTGTACTGTATGGAGCTAAACTATCAACCTTTATTAGCCAGATTGTTATACCGCACGAGTAGATAGATACATATCAGCTCTTGAGATTTTTGTTCGTTTTATACTACGAAAATGTTCTATGAATAACGATGTGCTTGCACCCTTATTTCTCTAGTTTTTACTCCTCTATCTTATCTCGTACTTCTTCAACATTAATTGAAAGTTTCACTCACGCGTCGTGTAAATGTATCGATTAGAATTGTATAAACTTACATTATGAATCAAAGTAACTTATATACGCTCTCATACCTTTATTCATATGTCATCAACGAATCTTTACCTGTGCCTTAGTATATGCGTACTATGCGAATTTACTTTCTTTAATAAGGGAACCCTAAACTAAAAGAAGTTAAATAGATACAGTACTGTATAAATACTATACATCAATCTAAAAATGTAACAGTGTACCTTATACAGAAGCCGTCTAGACAAATACTTTCGTGGCCAGGATTGTATGGCATAGCAATTTTAATTTGGTGTAATCTTAATAACAATTTCATGTATTTAATATTAACTGCATGATCGATCACCTTACTTAGATTTGCAAAAGCAGCTCCAGCGACTGAAACAACATGAAACGGAATTAATGGAAAAAAATAGAGAACTGGAGCAAGAATTTGGTGTTAAACGTGCACAGTTTATGAAATTGTACTTGACTAAGGAAGGTAAGGTTGCTTAGAACGATAAGAAATTTTCAATCGCTGTGCTTTATCATATATTTCGGGTGCGTTGCATACTAGGCTGGGCCATTGTAGTTGGAGACTGATTACATACTTACAATAATATATTTCCTGTAAAGTGTACAGCTTTAGCTATTGTGAAACCATTGATTGATGAACTGTTTCAAATCTTTTAACAGATTAGCAATTTATTCAGTATACTGTTATACCCAGATTTTCCTTCGGCGTATGAAACTCAATAGTAATACTTCGCTATTATACGTAATTTACATTAGCAATGCAACCATATATTCTGCCCTTCTAGATGAATCATCTTACCATATTTATAACTAACTTATATAACTACTGTACAATGGGATACTTAAATTCAGCCTTGGATGTCACAGTGCTGATGATACTTAATATCGATACAATTTTAATTTTAAAAAATTTAACTGCCATTATTATTACCGTAAGTAAGTGTAAACTTGAAGTGATGAAAACTACCTACTGTTGAATAGAACAAGATTGCAACGTACAGTGCTGTGATCATAATGATAGTCACAGGACTGTAGAATATGAAATACTCAAGTTTACATTATGATTTCGTGGTATCAACTGACGAGTTAGTTAAGATCGTTTATTCCGAGATGACGTCTTCTTATGTCACATTGAGCCATTATTTTAACGCTAGCTAGTGCTACAGCATATTCCGGCATCAAACAGTGCTCCCAAAAGTTTGATATGAGATGTATTGTATAAGCAGTTAGCCTTAGTCTGCCATTATATTTATACCAATTTATTCATGCTGCAATAGAGGAACTGAAGGCTTCTAAGAAAGAAGTAGAGCAGCTGCAATCTGAGGTCTTTCTGCTAAATGACCATTCGAAGAAGATAGAAGATGAACTAAACGGTGTTAGAACAGCCGCCGCGCTTTCTGAGCAAGACAAGCAAGATGCTATAGAGAGCTTAAAACGACGTTACGAATCACAGTTGGAATCATTTAAAGAATATGCCAATAGTATGTTCATCACTATTATACAGCATAATAAATATATTTAGAATATCTTCTAGAATGAGATTGTGAATATTACTGTAGATTTTGGAAACCAGTACGTGCTAACTTTTGATGATGAACTTCATCATCAATTTTTAAGGATTATCCTATAATAATTCGTCTTTCATTAATGTTCATATTCAAAATAGGTAAGAACGAAAGTAGCACCGAATTTGAAGAAGAGCGAGCAAGACTGACTTTAATTATTGAACGATTAGAATTAGAAGTGAATGAACTGCGTAATAATGCTCGTAAGCAAAGTACCTCACCAGCGAGCATAACTGATTTCGCTAATAAAGTCATACGGCGAAAAAACAATATTGTAACTGCAAAAGGAAGAACTCCTGCATCTAACGAGACACTGGAAGATAGTATGGAAAAGGTGTGTGTATTTCATACTCCACTGCTTTTATATAGTGATATTATCAAATTCATGATGGTAGTAATTTAACAGTAATTGTGGAATAGCAAATTAATTTATATTTATTTAAAGGCACAGGAAACTGCAGATATGTTACGGTCTGTGGTTGTCCCTATGGAAGAGGTAATTAATTATAGTAGTATGGACTTTTTATAGATCAGTTTTATCTAATCTCTTCTTTGTTTAGGAAATTGCATCGCTTAGATCTAAGTTGCGAGAGACTCAAACTAAATTAAAATACTATGAAAATAAGGTGAGAGTGGCGATAATATGTAATAAGTAAACATTCATAAATTATATATATATATATAGCCGTTAATTTTAACGCTTTTATTCTCGGTACTGTTAGCAATCGAAACATCAGATTGCGAATCAAAATCTAATCGATATTCAAGGAGATTTAGAAGGTGCCAATGAAGAGGTACAATTTTACCAGTTCTTAGATTTACCACATACCAATCTAAGATTTCAGTTAATTGAATTTCTGTTACTACTCAAGTAAAAATATATATCGATTTTTAAATTAGGTTAAAGGGCTGCAGTCCTGCCTCAGTGCAGAGCGATCTTCCAGAACAGATCTTGAAATGTATGTTGCAGTTTTGAACACACAAAAAGGTTTGCTGACAAATATCAACATAACTTTTAAATACAATGATTATATGAACACAATCTGTTTTTGTACTGTATCGATTGTTTTACTTGTTAATAACCATACATTATCAATAGATGTACTCCAAGAAGAGAAGCAACAGTTAGAAGAGGAATTTAGAAGAGGTTTGTTTGCTAGAATGAGATCTCTTTCAAAATATACTAGAATATACTATTTACTATTGGCACAAGTTTCAATTGGCTTGTTTAGTGAAAGATACAGTACAGCAGGCTAATAAAGCTTTAACATTCTTGGTTACAGTATGTAGGTTGTTAGAAGATGAAAAAATGGCGGGCAATGAACTTAAGCAGACATGGAAACTTGCCAATGACGGTTTTTTAGAGCGTCAGAAATCCTTTCAAAACGAAATTGATTGTATGAAAATTTTGCTATCTCCGCAGCAGCAAGAGATACTACAAGACATGTTATATAAGAAAGATAACAAAGAATCACATCCTTCCAACTACCAAGTGTCCAGTTCAATAAATTTTGCCAGTGTAAGTAATAATCGTGTAATTATAATAGTCACTGAAAATATCCTTAATAATCTTGGATGCAGATGTACAGTACAGTATCGTATTGCAATAAAAATAAATAGGCTAAACGAATATATTTTAAATCTTATCAGCAATCAGCAGATACTGGGATAATACTTCCAAACCTGCCAATTCAAAAGAGCGAGAACAATAATAAACTCCCTCCAGTAACTGAACAGAATAATCGTAATAGCACGGACGACACCTTAATTGATTTATCTAGCACCGATACTAGTAACAGATTAGGACCTGCATCATCGTTAACGTCACTAAATGTTAGCTCAAATTATGATGAAAGGATCAAGCGAGTCCAATCAGATAATAATGTAGCCAGTAGGGATAAAAGTAAAAGTTTCAGCGTTAGCAGTCCTTATAGAGGCGATAGTGGATATTCACAGTGGACTAACGAGAATCAAATGCCTAATAAAGATAGCTTTTTCCGGAACGAATTAGCTTCACTGCAACAAGAGGTTATTAGTCCTAACTTCAATGATTGCAAGTTTTGAGATTAACAGCTACTTGGTAGTTTTCTTAACTTAAAATACCGTTTAAATCAAATAACATGCGTACTTGAATTAGGTTAAGCAGTTGAAGGAGAAGCTATCCAGCGCTGAAGCTTTATGCGATAACTATGAACTTCAACTTCAAAATTCTGAAAAGGATATCGCTACACATAGTGAAACACAGGAGAGCTTGAAATCACAAATTGAAATTGAAAAGGTAAGCAGGATGATATGGCAATATATGCTCTCTGTGATACTTGTAGAAGGTTAACATTTTACCGCACTATTTGTGAATATTAATGTTTCATAAATTCATAGAATGTTGGGAAGATAGAAAGGCAGAGACGCCTAGCACTAGAAAAGAGCATGAAAACTGCTAACGACAAGAATGATGTGCTGGTACGCGTATTTACGAAGTTTTTCAAATTCTTTTCCTGGGGCTACCGTATTTTACTTACTAATGATCTTAAAATTCTGGTGTAATAGATAAAACAATATCGTGAGGAACAAGACAGAAACGAGAGGCTATTTTCTAGTATAGAAGAAAGCTATAAGATTGCCCAAAAGCAAATAGCGGAGCAAATAGTTTGTATAATCAATTGACTGGCTGTCTTAGTAATCATTTATATATGGTTAATCTCCAATAAATCTGACTATCGCATTTTGACTTACAGAAAGACTTATCTGACTCACGAAATAAGCTGACTGCTGAAGTAAGAATTTAGCGATTGGTCGAAGTAATTCTAATATTAGAGTATATATTAATGCTATCATCTAATAAAAATCACTATTACAATCCCTAGCTTTCAATGCTGAAAGCACAGTATAGTGCATTACAGAACCAACAGCAAGCAGTTTCTAGTGGAAGTGCATCTTTATCCGCATTATCTCAGGTATTCTTTCACTATTTAATCGAATTATTTGTGAATCCTAGCTAACTATAATTTTCTTTTTCGATAGGCACAAAGCAATTATCGAGAAGAAATTAATCAATTAAAGCAACAATTAACAGTGGAACGATCGAATTCTAAAGCTGTCGAAACAAAGTTAAAACGCGAAGTACTGTATTAATCTTAACCCAAGATATATTAAAATAGATTTTTAATAACAAAAGTTCTTTTTAATAGATTGACTACTTGACAAAAGAACTGACATCTTCATTATTAGATGGAAACCGAAACATTTCCCCAAAAATTGCTTCTCAAGGTGCAATTGTTGTCAAAATGCTAGTAACATGTAATTAGGCGAGATAGTAGTCGATCTTCAATGATATAGATGTTTGGTATTGATAATAGTAGTATTGTTACTGTGTTAATAACTAGCGGTAACCCAAATAATAACATTTGTAGGTGTCTCAGAGTTTGATCCTTTCGCAGCAGTGTTCCCTAATTCATTTGTAAGTAACAGCTTATGGAATTTAATTTTGCCATAATAGACTTTAACTGAAAAAGGATATATCCACACTTATTAAAGGTAGACAGTAATATGATACAATTGTTTAGAGCAATTCCAGCGTAGCAGAGAAGAAACAGGAAGGTGATAGTCATGCTGATGTTGAAGGCTTTTTGTATAGCAAACCTCAGTTTGAAACTGGCGAGGTAAGATATTAAATACATAGTATACCTTATGTTCATAATAATTAATTATCAATACGTGGTAATAATATAGTTAAAAAAACTTAAATCATTCCGAGATGTATGATATAACAGTCGATGTATCTTCCTTACAAGCAGCAACTGACTGCAAGGATGCTAAACTTTTTTGATCATATAATGCTTAGGAGAAATCGGAAAATGAACTCCTCGATTTAAGACAGCATTTACTTGGAAACCCTTAAATGTACATATGTTCACACTGTAATATTTGGTAATTTGCTAATGAAAAAATTCGAGCTATCTATGTTATACGGTGATAGGTACGAAAGATAGATTTTATTTAATAATTGCATCTGAAAATGACCTAGCTATACTAACAATTTTATACACTATTTTTGTCAAATTATATTACAAAATTATTAATGCATTTATACGTCAAAAGAAATTTGATACCTTAAATTTCTCAACATAAATTATTATTCAATACCATCAAGTATCTGAATTAAAAATTATGACAGCTTTTGACTTAGTAGTTACGAGTCTTCTAATGACTATGTGCAATCGTGCATGTGGTATTAGCTACAGCTATTGTTAGGATCGATTATTAGTTAATACCATGCATTATATTATGTACTGTAGATAAACTGCAACTGTTGAATACTGCCATTTACTATAGGCGATAGTAATGTATTTAATTATACTTCCTGCACTAGCCTCTTAAAATTGTTGAAATACTACGGTTGGTTCCATATTTACGAATTATTACAATTAATTATAGGTTTGTGTCCTAAGCGGTGTGATATTTTACATATAATATCTTATGAAAACTGCGTTTATCTAAAATAGATACAACCTAATATTATGCCTCAACGCATTTTAGCTCATTACAATCATTACTACCACATTAATTGCATACAAGTATATATATATATATATACATATCCAATACATGCATACTCGCAAGTTCGCAATATAACAATATCTAGGAACTAGTATATACTACAGTGCTCGATGATATCGAAGACTGTGAGTATTTGGTATGTATAGGACATCGTTGCATCGTCAACTTACTTAAATGAATCAGCCTTTATACTTCCTAAAGCGTTCTACTTCACAATTTTAGTATACTACAATGAAATAAACAAGTTTAAATGCTACTCTTTTATTATAATTATCGGTAAAAATGACCATGATCTTTATGTAACTCTAGCAACTTAATGTCATTAAATGCGTTTTAGAAAGTGAAATAAACTCTTGTTTTTATCATAATTAAAGGATTTAGGCCTTTCATTCTCCTCTAGAAAGTATGCTCCATTTTATCATATGCAAAAAATCGCCTACTTAAAACTAAATTGAATAAAATTAAACTGTAAAATAGTATTTCATTAAAACTTCTCATTTGTGATACTGTAAGTACAAAGGGAGACACAGTAAATATTCCTTAGAATTTATCCGAAGCGCATGTACACGAGTAGCTGCCTATTTTACGTAACTTCATTTCAATATTTATTTTGAATGATTGCCTCTACACAAAATTCGCAAAAATACAAGTCAAGTTCCCATCAAGTAACTAATCATCATCTTGCCGGGGCATCTAGATAGTGAATATAGTGTGCCATTACTTGCTTTTGTCAAAAATTTCTGCCAATGAAGCTCTAACCGAAGATCACGAAGAAAATTAAATATAATTACAGATTATGTATGAATAGCCAAGAACAGTAACACCCTGAAATGTTAAATAAATTCTTACTTTGCATCATCAACTTGCAGCTGCAGTCGTTCCTACAATAATTAATGATCACAACATTTAGATATTACTATCTAAGCCGGTATTCTTAACATGTTTAAATTTTAGCACTTTATTTCAGTAATAGCGCTTCACATGGCAAACATAGCTTATATTGCTGCACTGTTATAAATTTCGTTAATGCTGTCCAAAATCGCACCTTAATGGTTTCTGAAGTTGCTCTCCGTAAGCGACTAGTTAAATCTATAATAGTAGCTTTGAGACCAGTAGCATTATACCAAATGCGTATTGATCTATCATTTCCACCAGATGAAGCTAAATATTTGGAAGATGGGTGCCACTTTATTGCGGTCAACACTTCTGCAGATAGAATTTGCAATGGTACTATTACATATTAAAATTTTACTTATGAATAATATAGTGAATGCTTCTAATTACCAACCAGCATGCACATTGTCGATACTTTCGTCTAATTTTGCGTCATACGCAAAGAAGAAATCTATCCTCGTCCCAGAAGCTATAGCAACTGTTCGCGCATCTGGTGACAGGGCTATTAAACTAAAACCTTGCGTATGGCAACTTCCGGTCATCATACAACGCGGATCTTGATCTAACCTGTAATGAACTGACAACAGAATTTTTTATCACATCTCTACAATGTATAAAATTTAATCCAAATAGCTAAATCTGAATTTATTTATTGTGTACCACTGATATCCCAAATTTTCCAAAATCCATCCTTAGAAACAGTAGCCATTCTGTATATGATTATAATGAAGATAGTTCAATCTTCTTTGAAATGCATGATATGAACTTACGAATACATCAGTAGTGCCAACTAACTTTGAAACATCATCAGAAAAATTAAATGAATAAACGGCTGCCTTATGTCCTTTTAACTCCATGGCCCTCGAAACCTTAAAGCAGTTCGCGTGTGTATTAATTTAACAGTAACCATACTTTAGCAGGAATCGTCTCGCACTATACCTTAGAGTATTCGTCTGATTTAGTAAACTCGACTTCCCATAGTTTAACATCCGAAATAAATCCTTAAAAGGTAATAAATTAAAATTAGTTGATTGATGTACGATATATATCTATCACTACAACACACTTTGAGTTACAAGGAATAATATCACTAATAATAACAGCCTAGTAACTCCAAATGGCGCACGAAGGCCACTCTACCTGAAGTAGCCACGAATTTCCCACAAGGTGATATCGCTGCATATGTATTTACAACCTGCAAGGTATCAATTTGGCAAAGTACTTCCCCTGCAACAAAAGTTTTCAATCTTTAAAATATGCCTACTTAAAATATTTAGTAAAGCAATAAACCTTTCAAACTCCAAATGATCAAAGTAGTATCTTTTGAACAGCTCATAATATATTTTCCTGTTGGCGCAATGTTCAGCGCAATAATTTCTTGTTTATGTTTCTATAAAAGTAGAGATTGGCTTAATATGATGATAAAATATCCCTCTATTTATAATGCGATACACTTGTAAGTGCTAACTATACCACTGGAAAATCATAGGCAGGTGTAATTTCACCGGATCCATCGGCTTTTTTGCCAATTTTGAAAACTCGAATAGTATTTTCTTGTCCAAGGGAAACAATGAACGCTCTAAATGTCATTCATTTTTAGTATGTATAAATCATATATAAATACAACCTTACCAGAATAATTACTTGACATTTAAGCAGGTATAAAAATACTATATCAAAGTAACAGCGAAATTAGTTTGAAGCATTACAGTACCTTATATCAGGGCTGACACTTATTCTTGAACCATGATCTAATTCCACATTGACTCTAAGATACCTAGTAAAAGATACACACACTCTTTACTTCAACGCAATCCATTATAATTACATAGCAAAAATGATATTGTTATCATGCCTGGTAAGTAAATCAACAAGCTAAGCAGATTACTTAGGCATATTCAGTATACTCGTGTTAGCAATCACATATTCTATTCTACAATTGTATAAGCAATTAATATCGTATTTTCTTGAGTAAAACACAGATCACTTAATTTTCATGTTTCTTATGCTGCAATAAGTACAGCATACAACCACTTATTACATACACAAATAATTATCATATTTATTGCTCTATAATGTGTAAATGTATTCAATAAACAGTTCCACAATTAATTTTAAAGAAAAAACGATGAATCAATATCTGACTTACTTATGTTCTTTATTCTTAAATTCTTTAACACTCCATAATCTAACGCTGCGATCTTCATTAAGTATATCATAAAGATCATCATTCGGTTAAGTTGCAATATGAATAGTGAGTATTTATAACAACAAGCTGTAATCGCTTTGTTTGCATAATATGCTTGTATTTCTACTTAGTAGCCGATAAATACAGATATTTCGTATATTATATCGCAGAACTATTGAAAACAATGCACACTAATAGCTATAAATTTTGCTCAGATATGAACGGCATGAATTTAAGTCTAACACAGACTACAGTACTGACTATTTCAGTTAGCGCTAGCAAGTAAATCCAACCATAGTGAGTCATAGTATGAAAAAGCAGTGATATATCACTACAGTATGACATACGAATAAAAATTATGTATGTTCAATATCTTCCAGACTATATTGCCCATTCAGTTAAAATCTTAACTACTGTACTAGATGCATATGTCAGAATGATCTAGTCTCCTATTTAGAGTTAAAATTATTGTTACGGAACAATAAGTAAGTTGCCCGTCATTCAACATTGCCATTGAAAGCACTTAATAGCTTTTAAAGAATCGAAAATAACTAATCTGATAGGTGGTAGAGCTTTAGGGTATTATCAGACTACAGTAAAGTCTGATTTAAATTAGCCTTATCCGCCATATCCTGAGCAGGAAGTTAGCATAAAGCAAATTTATATCTTATCCTATTCAGTAAATTAAGTAGCAAAAATAGCTTATTTCAATGATACAGCATCTATAGGTCCTAAAATCTACGAGTGTTACACGATTATCTAAAGCAAAGCTAATAGTAATAATATAATAATCAATGACATGCAATCTAATAATGTATCAATTTTAGTAATCCACGTCAGTAGCAGATACTAAAATGAAAAATTACGCCATTAAAGCAAAGGCAATTTTCCATGAGCCGTGAATCACCCGTGATGGGGAATTCATTTATTCAAGGGCTGCAATGAAATCATTAGCTCAACTACAGTATCTAAATTTTAATTTATACAGTATATACGTACATTACCTTCAGATGTTGATGCCAAGTATTTAGCATTTATACTAAACTCAATATCGATAACATCGCCAGTATGACCTTTCAATGTAGTTAATAGTAATGGATGGGATAAAACTGGAGGGCTGGGAAATTTTTTACCGCTAACATGTTTGGCTCTTTTTTTACTAACGGTTGCACTCGAATCACCAGTATTATCTTTCTCCTGATTACTACTCCCACTATCAAATAACTTATCGTAAGTTTGGCGTTCTATCCTCTCCTTACTTTTTTGTTTATAAATACAAATAATTGTAATAACTATAGCTATAACGGCAGAAAATATAGCGATGGGAACATGCAGTATTCCTGTTTCAGCGTCGTAGCCTGCCATTTTATCCCAACTTTTATCCCAACTGGCACCAAGACCAGAGTAAAATGCACAAGGCTTCAAACTAGCCTGTCCCCATAATTCAGTGTAAGTACTGTACTGTACGGTTGTACTACTGTACAGTACAGTAGAGCATTGGAGCACAGTACTGTATTGTTGTACGGTGTACAGTACTGTATCCTACTGTACTATGTACTGTGCATGCCAGGTGTACAGTACAGTACAGTATGCTTATTATCAAAGATTGAAGGTCCAGCTTGACCTCGGTGCAAAACGAAGTATACTGCATTCGGTCGCCATGGCAGGATTAGCAGGTAATTATATTATTGCAACCATGGATCATATCAGTTGTGACGATTTCTTATCCATATTAACAATATGAATATTCATCAATTGTTTCTTTTAACTGCTCCATTAAATATGTATACATACAGCACAGTATAATTAATAATTGAGAGCTTCATGACACCCTGTGAACAAAAACTAGGTAATCTCAGCTTCCAGCTTTTGGTCAATCGATTAGCTTAATAATACACAAACAGTAAAGCTGTAATTATTTCTCTACACCAGTATGCAATTGCGAATACGGTACCTTTTCCGACACTGATCCAAACCATTAACTTTGAAATGTCATCAACTACGTCCAGTAGAACTAGATAAATGTTAAACCAAATTTATTGATTTTTCTACTTGTATTCATGTAAGCTTGCATTCATGAATGTTAAGATGTGATCATTTCTTGTCATATAGCAAAACATTATCTTTCCACCATAAGAAAATTTGCTCGAGCCTTTGCTACCAAAACCTTCACTAGAGATAGACCTCATATTAATATCGGAACGATTGGTCATGTTGACCATGGAAAAACAACATTGACTGCTGCAATTACCAAAGGTTTGCTAAGCTATCTAATTTGTATCATCATGCCCATCTGCATAGTTGTTAGTACTGCGCAAGTGAACTGATTGATGCTATGGGCGTTCAATGAATGGAAAAATTTTTATAATATTCATGGAGCTCGTTCTACATATGATTATATCCGTAGTATTGGCTGAAAAAGGAGACGCACAATTCAAATCCTATGGAGAAATCGATAGAGCACCAGAGGAAAGAGCTCGCGGAATCACAATTTCCACTGCGCATGTTGAATATTCTACTAACGAACGTCACTATGCTCACATAGATTGTCCTGGTCATGCAGATTATATAAAGGTATGAATGTGAACCTTTGATATTAATGGAATACTGTACTGTACTAGTTTACCATCAACAAATCCGTGACTTAGCTCTTTGAATCAGAATATGATTACAGGAGCTGCACAAATGGATGGCGCGATATTAGTAGTCGCTGGTACGGAAGGCCAGATGCCGCAAACTCGAGAGCATCTCCTCCTAGCAAAGCAGGTGACAAGTGACAACATAAATGTGCTCCGCTCTACCTTCTAAAGTTCAATTGTGAAATTAATGTGCCATTCATTTTTTTAACTGCGAAAATAATATCTCTATTGTTCTTAATCAAGGTGGGTATAAAAGAAATTTGTGTTTACGTCAACAAAGCTGATGTCGTAGAGGATAAAGAGATGATCGAATTAGTTCAATTGGAGATGTTAGAGATTCTTGATGAATTCGGCTACGATAGTGAGAAAACACCTATCGTTGTGGGCTCTGCTTTATGTGCACTAGAGGTATGGGGTATAACCAGAACTTAATTAAAATCTTCGCAGCAATTTGTTTCTTCTAAGAAAACTTATGTTAGCAACCTGACCCGTTAGGGCCGAAAACCAGAACTTGGGAGGGATTCTATAATGAAGTTACTAGATGAAATTGATAGGCATATTCCAGAACCCAAAAGAGATTTAGAGAAACCTTTCCTCTTACCAGTGGAAGATACTTATTCGATATCGGGTAGAGGTACCGTTATCACTGGTAGAGTTGAACGTGGAATACTCAAGAAAGGAGATGAAGTACAATTTGTTGGTCGAAATTCTGAACTAAAGTCTATTATCACTGGTAAATTAAGACTATATCTTTGTAATCGACCTAATTTTAAATTAATAACCAACTTCCTGGGCAGATTAAATTCATGACATATTTTAATCGTTTCCCAGATCGTAAGGTAACTTCTGCTACGTAGTCAGTTGAAGGCACTATTAATCGAAAAATTCTACGCTCAGGGCCTTACGTTGTGTTACAGGTATCGAAATGTTTAGAAAAAGCCTTGATGAAGCTAGACCTGGTGATAATATTGGAGCTTTAGTTCGAGGTTTGAAGCGCGATCAGGTCAAAAGGGGAATGGTGATGGCAGCTCCAGGAACAGTGAAATCATTCACAAAATTTGAAGCTCAGGTTTGTTAAGTTATTAATCGTTGCCCGACAGTCATTAAATAAAAGAAGTTGTAGCGTAATGCATGACTAATCAATGGGTGATAACTGATTGCAGCAGCTTCTTGCCAATATCCAAATCAATAATTGATAGTAACATTTCTGTCTGTTTAAGGTTTACCTATTGCAAAAAACTGAAGGCGGTAGACACAAACCGGTGATTAGCAATTATTCTCCACAATTATTCACCCGGACTGCAGATGTTACCTGCAAGCTAATGCTACCAGATGATAAGGAAATGTTAATGCCTGGTATTTATTTTTAAAATTGACGCTACTGATAAAAATACGATTGTAATCTATAAATATTCTTAATCTGGCTTATGATTTTGTTTAATTAATTTGTTTTCATGCTATTAGGTGAAGATGCAAACATGGTAATCACTTTGCATACAGACATGCCCTTAGAAGTGAATCAGCGATTTACATTACGAGATTCAAATCAGACTGTAGGAACTGGAATTGTCACGAAATACCTTAAATGAAACAAACTGAAATAAAAATTATTAGATCAGTAAATTAAAACTATTTATACGCGTACGGTGTGCTTAAAGCTTAGTCGAGAGATCAAGATACTCTCAATTCGCTATTGCATCAGGCTCTAGTGAAACTAATAAGAAGCAGCTTTCTATTACACATCTTATGATGTTCACTAGTAATACCGTTGGTAGACATAGCACTTTGTAATCAGTCACTTATAACATAAATGTACCAGGAATTTTTAAAGAGTGCCGTGATATATATATATTTAATATTGCCAATACAATCTTTATTGCAGATTTGCAGTTTATATTGAATACAGATTATGTTAGCAGTGTATTCTTCGGCGGCATGAAATAATTCCCGGCAATCTAGTTGTAGCATAAATTTGATAGAAATAAAATGTTAAAAAAAGTTTTAAACTGATTAAATTCTGGGAAAGAGTATTTGTAATTCAAAGCGCAGTCAACAACTCCGTATTAGTGGATTGCTAAAGTTATATGACTAAGTAAAACCTATATTTAAAGCTAATTCAATTAGGGCTTATTCAACAATGATTCGCCAATATAATTTAATCAATTAATTACCAAAACGTTAAAGTCAGCTATCAACAAATATTGTTATATTTACAGTTTATCCCAGAATTTGTGTAATAATGCCTGTTCCAACAGTTGAATGACCATCTCGCAAGGTGAATCTTTGCTTTTCTTCGAGAGGTAAATCAGATTGAAGTGTAAAGGTTACTTCGCAGTCTTCACCTAACGTTAATACGGATCAGATATTCATTACGAAGTTAATAAAAGTGCTCATATTAAGTATATTAATTGTCAAAATAACCAATTGCAGATTATACGTATATGCATATACATATGCATACATACGAGTATATACTGTACCTCAAATTGCTCAGACCACAGACTAAACATGAAAGAAAAATAATGTAGTAATTTTTATACCTGGCATACACATCTCTTTGCCTGATGGTAATTCAACTCTTGCAGCTACATCAGCTGTACGAGTATATAAAACGGGTGCGTAGTTTGTAACAATCGGAGTTTTGCGGCCACCTTCCTCAGTCGATAGCATATAAAGCTAGAAGAGAGATAAATTCCAAAGAATGTGACCGTTACCAAAGTCATAAATTTTATTGCCTTCAGTTTCACGCTTCATTTACACACCTGAGCTTTAGCCTTGGTATAAGATTTGACAGTATCGGCCGCACATAGCACCATTCCTCGCTTAATGTCTTCACGCTTTATACCACGTACTAGTGCCCCCATATTATCACCAGCTTGAGCCTGATCTAAATTCTTATGAAACATTTCAATACCTGCAATTCAAGCATAAATACTCGTGTAACTCCTACATCACAAATTTATAAAGGCGATAATATTGGTGATAAATCATGTATTCATCATAAATTACAGTACAGTATTGTTAAAGTACCTGTAATTACTGTTTTTATATTGGATTTTTTGCCAACAAATTCTGCATCACTTCCTTTCTTAATAATTCCCCGTTCTAAACAGCCAGTAACAACGGTCCCTCGACCTGGAATACTAAACACGCCTTCAACTGGTAGTAAAAATGGTTTATCTAACTCTCTTTCAGGAATAGGTATGTGAGCATCTATAGCTTCCATTAATTTTTCGACAGACTTGACACCGAGCTCAGGATTTCGATTCTATTCATTTACAAAATCAGATTCTTTAATGTTATTGATATCTTGTATCATAAAGGTACCAAGATACGCAGATTTAAATTAGTGAATAAGTAAAGCCTTCCAACCTCTAGAGCGCATAGTGCCGATCCGATGATAACCGGAGTGTCCTCATCATAACCATGTTCTTGGAGTAAATCTCTAATTTCTAATTCAACTAGCTCAAGCATTTCGTTATCGTCAATTGTATCTGCCTTATTAACATAAACTACCATATGTTTGACACCAATCTAGGAAAATTACGGCAGAAATGTTAAAAAATTTAGCAGTATTGGTAACTGATCAGAGGAAATTTCGTTACGAAATGCTGTGGTAATTAAGAAAAGGCATTACCTGTTTCGCCAACAAAACATGTTCTTTAGTTTGCGGCATAGCACCATCAGTTGCTGCAACAACTAAGATAGCTCCATCCATACGAGCAGCCCCAGTTATCATATTCTAAAAAATAGATTGTTACCAATGTTAGGGTGCAACTGGGCAGCGCTACTTATATGCACATACCTATATCATATTGTATATATTATAAGTATAATTGGCTATTTCAGTTAGACATTATATAAGTGTACTGTATAATTAATATAGGCAATGCTTTTTTACTATTACTAAATGTTAAATAATTTTATACAATGAATCCAATCTACTTCGCACCTTTATGTAATCGGCATGACCAGGGCAATCAATATGTCCATAATGCCTTTGATCGGTTTCATATTCTACGTTTGCCGTTTTAATAGTAATTCCACGTGCTTTTTCCTCAGGTGCATTATCGATTTCATCGTAGGCCTTATACTTTGCCTGCCCACGCTCTTGCAGTACTATTTTGTAAAAGAAAGTTTAACCCCTTATTTTGTAATCCAAGCAGGTGTTTGAGTAAGATATTTATTTCGTATTTAGTATATAATTGGCGAACTGCTGTAGTAGCTTGACGGTATAATATATCCTGTATTATTATATTACTATCATTTTTTGATAATTGATAGAGTATAATCGTACGATATTCAGTAAAATATGGGAATGATCCAATGTACAGTAGAGTGCAATACGAGGGTAAGTTTTTATTATACTCGTAATTGAATTCTCTTACATTTAGTTATTGCTGCCGTTAAGGAGGTTTTGCCATGATCGACATGGCCAATGGTGCCAATATTAATATGCGGTTTATCCCTGGAATAAGTCTTCTTGGCATCTGCTGACATTGCCCGAACTGCAATTACAATATTACGAAATTTAATATATATCTTAATGTATAAGTCTAACCACGATATGTCGCCTATTGCAGATATGCCTATTCTTCATTTACTGTAATAGCGCTCTATTCATACTACTTTGATAAAAGTTAATGAATAAGTGGAAAAAATATTTCACATTATATCTTTTACATCTTTTTATCTTTTTTTTTATAGGTTATACAATATTGCCATGAAAACGTATACACGTTCGTAGTGTTACAATATGATATACGTCCAAAATAATGGTACAAGCTGCGCATTGATACATACTCGTATCTACGACTGTAAACAGTATCTTAACATACAGTAAGCAATTCATTAAGTAATCGTTGTTACAGTAAAGTATGCGTATATCCTTTACTTGCAATCAATTTCACGGAGCACAGGTACACCTGTTAACTATGACTCGTGCGTACACGTCATACGGTATTCAATATCAACTAGAAATTTGTAAAGAAATAGCAAATATGTATAATTGTGTTATACAGTACCAGCAATATTCCTAAGCTTGCCGTTCAGGAACGAAAACCTATGGGCTTGATAAGATATAATTGATAACAAATTAAAATTATACCCAGCAATCTACAATATCAGTTTACATTTTACACGTGCTACAGCATCTCTCCAAGATAGTTGATAGACAATACAGTACAGTACTGTACATTCAACACGCTCTATGGCGAAAAAACATGGATACTTTCGATCAAGATTCTATTTTGTTTAGGCCAATGTTATAAATGTGTGCAAACTTTGGAAGCATAGAAGTCAGAAGATTGCATAATACTGTAAGGTTAGTACAATAGTATCGCAGTGCAATATACAGTCAACATAGTCATACAGAAACTCCTTAATGAAACTGTTGATCCTCATCCTCTCTCCCTACAATACAGTACAGTAAAGACAACATACGGGCATACATTCTGTCGTTGCCAACTTTGTAAAAGTATTTTACACAAAATACAACACTAGCAATGGACGAAGAGATCAGTCGATTTTACACACGTTGCATGCTCTACGATGTACAGTACCTATCCTACCTACTGAACCAGCCCGGCAAGTTATGGCTCCTAATTGCAACGCTAATGTTGTTGTCATGATGCAGAATGCAGACGGAGCTGCAAGTTACTCTATTACGATGAAGGATAAAGTTGTAGCTTTGATAATAACCAGCTCGAAACCGGTAGTAGTTATTAAATGGCCGACCACCTGTACGACAGTTTGTGACGATGAAGAACTTCAAGATCAGAACCAATGATTTTTATGGTACTATACAGTACAGCGTGTGCAGTAGGGTACAGTCACGATATATTAATTAATCGAACGCTGATGTACTGTGCCGTACATCATACTGTACACTATACTAAAGTTAACGGCTGTTTGTTGCCCAAAATGTGGAGCTGATTGCGGTGCAGTACATGGACTGTACACCGTACAGTTAGTACTGTACGATGTGAGCCAGTGCTATTAGGCAATATAAATTGTAGTAGAGCTGCAAAATTTGCCTCAAATTTTATATTAGCTTACAGTACTCTTACTCTAATTCCAACTGGTTCACACTGATGTGAGCCAGTTCTATTTAGACTGCTATTAAGCAAAATAAATTGTAGTAAAGCTGCAAAATTTGCCTCAAATTCTATACATACAGATAGTGTACTTTAGTACACACTGTCATACTGTACACTATACTAAAGTTAACGGCTGTTTGTTGCCCAAAATGAGGAGCTGATTGCTGTGCAGTACATGGACTATACAGTTAGTACTGTACCGTATTGTACTGTACGATGTGAGCCAGTGCTATTAGGCAATATAAATTGTAGTAGAGCTGCAAAATTTGCCTTAAATTTTATATTAGCTTACAGTACTCTTACTCTAATTCCAACTGGTTCACACTGATGTGAGCCAGTTCTATTTAGAGTGCTATTAGGCAAAATAAATTATAGTAAAGCTGCAAAATTTGCCTCAAATTCTATACATAAAGATAGTGTACTTTAGTACACACTGTCATACTGTACACTATACTAAAGTCAACGGCTGTTTGTTGCCCAAAATGTGGAGCTGATTGCTGTGCAGTACATGGACTGTACAGTTAGTACTGTACCGTATTGTACTGTACGATGTGAGCCAGTGCTATTAGGCAAATTAAATTGTAGTAAAGCTGCAAAGTTTGCCTCAAATTCTATACATACAGATAGTGTACTGTACTTTAGTACACACTGTCATACTAAAGTCAACGGCTGTTTGTTGCCCAAAATGAGGAGCTGATTGCTGTGCAGTACAGTACATGGACTGTACAGTTAGTACTGTACCGTATTGTACTGTACGATGTGAGCCAGTGCTATTAGGCAAAATAAATTATAGTAAAGCTGCAAAATTTGCCTCAAATTCTATACATACAGTCATACTGTACACTACAGTATACTAAAGTCAATGGCTGTTTGTTGCCCAAAATGAGGAGCTGATTGCGGTACAGTACTGTACTGTACTGTACATAGACTGTACAGTGTACACTGTGTACAGTTAGTACTGTACCGTATTGTACTGTACAGTATTGTACAGTACAGTATAGTGTACTATAGTACACACTGTACAGTACTGCATCGATCGGACTGGAGTCGTAGTGGATTTTTTCGGGTACACCGTACACTGTACTGTATACCGGTAGTCCATGACGTAGTACTGTAGACGGTTCAAATTTCCTTACGAATATTCTCGAACATTATCTGCCATTAATTTATTTTGCCTTAGACTTCGTGATTAACGATTAATAATTTCAATCGGTATGCCAGATATTAAAGGTGTAAGGAAATCCGTAATAAGGCCTGGCAATGGTATTCCATTGGAGTTATTCACCGGTAGTAA